TAATTAACAAACACCCAAATGTCCATGGTGAGACCGCAGCCTTGTGGCAGTAAAATATTAGATAGTCAGTGTTAATGTTCGTTTTCCCTTATCATTTCATAAATTCAATTCGCGATTTATTTCCTACTAAAATACTCGAGATCGCCATAGTTTTTAAGAGAAAATTAGTTGGGTAAATTAGAATGGCTTCAAGGTAGGGAAATGACAACTAATTTATCGTGTTGATCAGAAGCATTAGTTACCCAATATGTGTTCTACAGTAACAGTCTTTCTGAGGCCATTAATATCCACCATAGATAAGTGGCCCTCAATTAAGCCAAGAAAATTAGTTTTCTGGAGAGATTTCTTGACAAGCAATCTCTTTGATTCTCCCGACATGTAGTTCCGTCATGTTTATGGATGCTTGCTTGAGAAGGAGTTATTTTTAGTTTCCATCAGTTCTGTCAACCGTACGTCTGTGAGTGCTGTCCTTCAGCGATGAGGTGCGCGGGAATACTTCCATTGTTTCTATGGTAACTTGATATTACATGGCTGTTTGTTGATGTAAATAAAGAGTTTATCCTGTCATATAGATCACATAGTTTGCAAAGTGCCATGGAGTTCCTCTAATTATCATTGTTTTCATAGTCTTATTTCTGGTTATATCAAGAGCCTTACAACAGTTCCTTCTATCGCTCGCTGGTTTAATGTAATCTCATATATTTTGTTAGATCAATTCTTTTTTGAAATGGATAGATTTGATAGATTTGATGAGTACTCGCTAAGGTTGGATACCATCATAGCTTGGTGATGACTTCATTAAGTTTGTAACTGGTTTTATCTTCAACATGCAGTCATTTKCTTTGAACAATACGATATGTTTGCTGGATTGTGCTTAAACTCATTTAATTAAATGATGAGTTGGTTTACACCCTAATTAACAAAAAGCATTTTTAAGAAAAAACATCTGCTAACATCATTTCATTACATAGTGTGCTTCATGATTGGCACCTGGTCCGCCATTTCCAAGCTATATAGCTGCCGTGTATGTCGTTCAATTACACATGACTGCATTAGTGGTGTAGGACGTTTTTCTGTTTTGATTGTGTATGTCTGACGTCGTACTTTTGTCTGGACCTTGAACCTTGTTGTTAATCAGTGATTGAGTCTGCACTACTAATGACAGCGGTGTCAACACTAGTATCTTGTCTTAAAWAGATTGATGTGGTCATTGTAGATAGACTCGCAGTAATCCATCACACAGGTCATCTTCTTAAATCCAGCTATCTTGTACTGAGCCAGAAGATAGCAGCCATCACGCCAAGCGTTTACATTAGTTGATTCATTCAGGTAGGTGGAATGACTAACCTGGGTGAAGGACATTTTCTTATCAGTAACAGGCAGGTAAAGCCAATACCCTAACCATAGTGTAGCCATGCATCCATTGAGAATCGTTGCTAGGAAAGTTCTTATATGGCTTGCTTTAATGTAGTGTAACTCAKTTCTTTCGTTGTCGATAGTGTCACCTTGTTATACTGAATGTATTTTATCAATGAATCCAGTTTGTGCAGTAACGACACAGCTTTAATCAGAGGCACGACATCACAGCATCAGAAATATGTCAGTCGTATTGATGCCAAAAAACCACAAATATTTTTACGTTTTAAAAACAAAGTTGTTCAAAAGCAAACCACTTCAATTTTACTTTACACTTTGCGACACTTGAAGCTATTAGTTTATATGATTACGAGCAGTTCCTGACTTTATTCATCATGGTTTTTTTTACAATAAAAGAAGTGGTGCCGTTTGTTATTTTGTGCCATACTAAAGCACGCTTTGAACAGGAGGAGTACATATCTTTAAAGGGTGCTTAGTAATCACTGGTGTTACTTGCGGACCGCATTCAAATCTCGTTTTTACATACCATATCACGACATTATTATACGTGATCAAACTTCAACTGTATAAAAATAAAACAAAGCGAAAAAAAAAAACGTAATGCGTCACATCTATATAAATGTCTCACTGTCTGTCTCACTATTTATTTGAATTCTGTATAATCAACATATTCTGGTGAATATGGGCCTGTGAAAGATAGGCATGCGCAGTATGACAAGTCCATTAGTGCTCATAATCCATGCTATCAGTGTTCTAAACGAAGCGAGTTAAGGCAAAGCATTAGGCTAGTTATCTTCACTATAAATCTAATAAACACTACTTCTAATTTTGACGTTCATTCTTGTCGTTTCAATAGTTCGGCCGGATGGCAGAGATAAACATGACGATCAGAACTATCAAATGCTCTGATTGTGCTAACACAGGCCTGAGGGTTTTGCGCACCAATCAAAGCCTAATTTTGATGTTGGTGCCGGAGACGAGTTGTAGGTTTTTCTATAATCATGTTGTWCTTTAATTGACTGTTTAGGGGTTTAGTGATAGTCTGTTAATCAAGCTGTGTATCGCCTTGCTACTGAGGACCGATCTAATCTGGCGCCATKGAACTCAAGACAAAGACATAAGCCAAGGCTTAGAAATCTAATTTACTGTGAACAATAAGCAAAATACTCCGAATTAGATGAAGTCAACTTATCTTGTTTTATAATAGAGTGTAAGCTAAATAGGAAAATAAAGAAGCAAAAGAGGTGAAGCGAAGTTGAAAAAAAACGGAGCGCGATGGTGTCAATGATAAAAGGCGGAAGAAAGAAATCCGACGCAAGTAACCCCGAGCAAGAAGGCTGAAAACAAAATTGCCAAGAACAAAATAATGGGCCGTTTTGATGTGGTCCATGTGTGTATATATAAGAAATACGATAACAAAAACAGAGATTGCTACCGTGATTGACAGTGATTTCCGTGATKCTGTGTGTATTTCCATGGCTACATATACAACGTGAAATSTTTTAAAGTGTATAAAGAGAGTGTGTACTACGCATGTGCGTACGTGGTTGTGCATAACCTGATCACGACACSTTCTCTGCAGGACTCAAGTGTTTATCTCCCGGCAAAGTTTAAATGACCATCATTGGCTGTGATGGATCATTTTTCTTGCAGAATTTATTGTACGAACTGCAAAAACTGCGAAACGAAACAAACAACTGTACCTAGTCTCTCTCGTTCTTCATGCGTGATTTGTTACCAAGGAAACATCATATGTACGAAATATCTTTACTAAAACATTAATTAGTTACCTTCTACTTTTGTTGACAATGTGAGCCTTTTTTATTTAAAGACAKTAATAACAAGGTTCGGATAGTTGGATTTTATTCCAAACGGTTATTATGTCTATTGTCAAAATCAATCAAACTTTGAAGCTATCCGGTTCGTATTCCTATAATTGATGTTTTCCTCATGTGTGTGTAAACAAAGCGATAATGCAATATTCTGATTATAGTCGGCCTTTCTATCGTCTTTTCATCGATTACTATATTGCAATAAGTTTCAAGATTTYCGGTTTTCTTATCAATACGAATGCAATATTTCCAATGATTAAGATCTTTGCTATATCTGTTTGAAATCCAGTCAACTTGTATCAACAAAAAGCATTGAATAAACATGCCGTAAAACGGAAAAAATACCCAATGTGAGCAGTAATGGGAAGAGAGAGGCGTGATCCTATCAAAACTTATACCATAACAAGCCGACCTGAGTATCATTATACCTGGCTTCTACTCATCCCCATGGTGACGCTGTCCAGTAGTGGAACCATTTGGTGTCGTGTCGCTTGGCGTCTAGAAGATATTGGATCATGTCTAGAGACCATTTATAACTATCAATACTGCTTTAATGAAAAACAAGTTGTAGCTTTTTCATATGAATAACAAACTAATGACGTCTGGATTAGTTCGAATACCGTCCCAATAATTACCTCGCTCATATCTGACCAATTTGAGAAAATTAAAACCATCTATATTTGTCCATGCAAGGCATGATGGAAGTGCAGATTTGATCGTTTAGTTTGTATCTTTGACTGAAGAAAATGCATTTGCGAATACTTCTATTTCTACATTATTATTATTATTATTATTATTATTATTATTATTATGAGGGAAAAACGCGCCTTGTGACGCCTGCCATTGAGTGGACACTAAAGCAATGCTACTTGGAGAAACCTTATCTTAATGAACCAGTTAGAAAAATTGCTCTAGAAAACATCGAGAAAAAATGAATAATCGAGAAAGGTTTGACGGAAGACTTTTGTTTTTAGAAATAACTACATATGTTTTTCTAAAATACTTAGGATACTACGCGCGCTGTGATTNTGATCAAAACACTTGGGATGTAGGGAGAGCACTCGAAAAGCTGGAAACCACTCCGCTACGCGTCGTGGTTTCCTACGCTTCTCTCGTGCTCTCCCTACATCCCGCGTGTTTTGATCAGAGTATCAAACACGGAATTTCGTCTTTTATTCCTTAAATAAAAGCCATTCTTACAAGAAAATCAAAATACTTTTATTACTTTTGGCCATAACGTAATAATCGTTGCTGTTTTCATTTATTCCTTTTTGCGTTATTTCAAGTTACCGTTCATTATTCAGCGTGGTTGTAGATTTATTCTCTATTAGTTCATTTTGTGCAGTTTTTTGACTATTGAACTATCAAACTCTGTCATTAATCCTTTCCGAACCTTCTGATTTAATAATTCGTGTTGTTCATTATTGTGAAAATAGGAATGGGTGGTGTTATGTAGTTTTTGATAACTCTAAGTGCCATTCTATCCACTCTGTCTGTCTGTGGTTTTTAAGATTTTAACGGCATCAACCCTTTGCCTCAGGGCTCTTGTTACCACACGTCAGAGCTTGTAGACAATCACCTCGACTACTTCCCATGATCCAATTAACAATAAAATCAAACTACAAACACATGCAACTACATTGAAACTCATTCGAAGTCWTTCAGTGCTTAGGTAAACATGACTATTGAAAATGAACCAAACTGAACAAAACGATGAAAAAAGCTTACAATGTGAGAAGGATTAATCTAGTATCTTGCCGAGTCTAAGAAGGTAAGAAGAATTTGGATGTAATTAAATTACATTCTGTATTTTAACAAAAAGAAGTTGTTTGACAGGAAAGAAAAAGATCATCATTTTGAGAAATGAACCTTTTCATGAGAGTATATGTTCATTATTGACTAGACTCATGTTCGCTTAAGATGCTGGAACATAAGCAAAAACAAAGTATTTTTGTTGAATAAAACAACAAATGTTAAGTGAATGACGCAAAGCCAGGAAAACACGCTCGAATGTTGAACTTTTGGCTTTTAAGATTATTTGTTATTTTCGACTCAAGAAGGATTACTAGTGCGTGGGTTAATGGCTGATGTACAACATCGAGTAGGTAAGATGTAGACTTCTCCAATTATAGTAACATTTTAGAAAGTTTCTACTTGAACACAGAGATGTTGCAGACAAATTCTACGAAAACTCGCAATAGTATAGCACATTTTGTTGTCAAGAACTTCTTTACTTTTCTGTTATATTTTCAAGACGCGGCGATTCTCAACAAAGGCAGCGCAATATGATTTGGTATCGTGTGATCTATCCATGACACGATGCGACAGGATACACAGCAATCATCGTTCTAACCTGATCAAACTACAGTGGGTATAGTCTTGGCGGCACCCTGTGCACTACGATGAAAACTGTTGAGTTGTCTGTCAAATGACATGTCCTATACACAACTGGCTTATTAAAAATAAACAAGGCTTTCATGAAACTATTTAATCACAACTTGTCAGTTTTGATTTGCCGGTCATTTCAACCATCAACCATGAATTTAGTTTCTATTCACATTTCATCAGCATGAAAACCTTAGTCAACTTGTTCAGTTGGTAATTACTTTGAAATCAAATAGGACGGAACAAATAGAAACAACATCGATTTTACTTCAAAACTCATTGTCGTTAAATAAAAAATAAGTACTGTGCGGAAAATCCGAACTCGTTTGTTAGAATAGCCATCCACACCTTTGAATATCTTTCTAGTTTTTAGTGCGATGCCGGTTTTTTTCATCTCAATTTCCTTTCCCGTATTCAACATTTTTTTGCTATATACTAGGTAATTGCGGGAGTTCATTTAGGTATACTGCTCGCTTATTAACTATTCTTTATATAAGCGATCAAGAATCAAATATTACTATCCATATAAGTAGATGAGCTATTATGGCAGTTGAGGATCAACATTGGTCGATTCATATTATAATGTGGTTAATATTGCTGCGGTCATCAGCTAACTTACATTCATTTCTTGTAGAACGATTCCAGAAGTATACTCTGGCGACCGTTTACTGCTAGTACGTCCAAAAGTGACACGATGGCTAACAAAACGAATCTCTCGACTTCAGCGCATAATCTGAAAGAAGATAATGGTTTGTCGTTTATTGCTTTGTCGACCTCATGGGCTGTGCTTGGGCTTATTTCAGCAACATTAAATCTTCTGGTGTGCTTTGCCGTGTATAGAATCAAGAAACTTCGTACTATAACCAATTACTTTATAGTGAGCTTATCTGCTGCGGACCTGCTCGTTGGAATCGTGTTCACACCTACATATATTATCGATCACTATGCCAAAACCATTATAGCAGGATATCTCATTGCTTTCATCCTATTTGCATCTATTTTTAACCTGGCTGCAGTGACGTTTGAACGATTTATAGCATTAACCCGTCCATTTCAGTACCGTTCGCTAATGAACACAAGACATGTTGGTATTATAATAAGTATAGCATGGATATCACCTCTAATAATTTGTCTGTTACCACTAGCTTGGAACACTGATAACACAGCAACTATCCATGCCGTATACAAAGTGATACTGGTCGTCTTAATCCTACTGCCTATTCTCGTCATGATTTGTATTTACGCAAAACTACTAGGTGTAGTGAGAAGTTTTATTCTCAGAAACAAAAGCAGAGCCAGTGCTGGCAATAAGACTGGGAACAGAGTAGGAAGAGAAGAAAAGGCTGCTCAAGTGTTCGCATCTGTTTTTGGTACATTTTTGATATGCTGGGGTCCCATTATCTACATCAACATCTGTGAAGTAGCTGATGCTGGTCGTACGTTTGTACCTGAAGAACTTATTTACGTCTCATTCTACACTCTACAGTTCAACTCTATCGTGGATCCCATCATCTACGCATTCTTCAAAAGGGATTTTATCAAAGCCCGTAGTCAAAGACATTATTGCTGTTGCGGAGTAGAAAAACAAGAAGATATATCGTCTGAAGTGATCTTACAGCGAGTTTCTTCCCATAGAAACAGCCTGGTTTCACGCAATACCAAACCTTGTAAATAACCGTTATCACAACGAGTACGCAAACTACTGACACCTTGTAATTAATGATTATACATCTAAATATCCTAGAAACATGTAATCCCCGAGGCTAAGAACAATTCTACACCATGTACTTACAGCTACTAGATGGGCGTTGGCTCGATGACCGCAAAGGATCATCATTATACACTAATCCACCTCTCTTTAGAAGCGGCCAGCAATAAGGTTCTATAACTTAAGGTCCCACACACTCAAAATATATTCGTTCTCAGTACTGACCTTGAGAACAGAGAACAAGCATTATATACATGTGGAAATAATAGCTATTAGTGGTTTTCACGAGAAAGCGTACCAAGGAATATAATAAATCGTAATAGAACACTAGGGACGATTTCAATACCAAAGAGTTATTGATGATATAAAAATACGTTTAAAATTATCCATTAAGCTCTAAACAACAAGTTATGATTAAGGCATTTTCATATTCTTATGATTGTAATGTGATGGTTGCGAGCATAGCTTTCCTTGTCAAATAAAACAAAATTGCTAGATATGAATATTTGCGTTACACTGTTAGATGCTAGAACAAGATCTTGTTATATATTCCACCGTGAATTATAAATTTGAGGCAATTAAACAGATGCTAAAAATCAAATTAACATTTTTATTATTTTAGTGAGGTCTATAATATTTTGTGGATGTAGTCGTCTCTAAAACTCAACGATATTATTCTTCGGCATTGGTAGGATATGCATTACAGCTATTCCTAGGTACAATACATTCGTTTTACGATTCTATTCACTCTACGCATTTTTCTCGCTCCTTAAAAAAATGTATTTGATGCGACTATTGATGGATTGATAGCCTTAAAATTTATAATATCCTCTTTACAATAGAATCTTTCCTAAGATGATACCAAGAAGTAAAGCCAACACTATGTAAAGAATGGGGAGGGGAGCCAGGGGAGAGTCTGTGGGGGGAGGGGCATAATTCACTTTTGTCGGTGGAGACTTGGATGCAACAGCCAATGACCTTTTCAATTTCACTGATTCTTCCTGTAATGAAATATAAAACTAGACATCAATAACTATCAACATCAATATAACCACCAATAACTACTAGTATCAACATCATCATAATCATCAATAACTACTAGTATCAACATCATCATAACCATCAATAACTACTTGTATTAACATCATCATAACCATCAATAACTACTTGTATTAACATCATCATAAACATCAATAACTACTAGTATCATCATCATCATAAACATTAATAACTACTAGTATCAACATCATTATAACCATCAATAACTACTAGTATCAACATCATCATAGCCATCAATATCATGACATTAGAATATAATATTTTTTTTGGACAAACAGAAAAGAATAGATTCATGTATATTTTTTTTTTTTTTTCTTAATCCACCAGCAAAACTTCAGCAATCATACCGTTAGTCTAACATTCTCCTCCTTGAGTTTTGCTAATTCATCATTCAAATTCCTTTCAATAGTTGCCTAAGATGAGGAAAAGAAACACCCACATATCTTATGAGATTTGCTATGAGTTTTGTGTTGTTTTTGGTTACTAAAATAGTATCCATGGCATTCATAATGGAGACATACATGATCAAAGTCAGCATAAAGGTGAGTATCATCAAGACCTACCGGTAATGTCTTTGGTGTTTCAGTTGCCTGTTCTGGGAATGAGTTATTTCTTGCATGTTGTGCAGTAGGTTTCACTGGGCTCTCAGCTCCTGCCTCTAATAGAGATGATTCAGGTTTACCAGGGCTCGCTTTGGAACTTAAAGATATGTCTTTGGATGGTGTATCATTACTCTCCTATAATTCAAAATACAATCGATATTACAGGGCTTTTTATGACCTGGATATATGGTAATGATTTTACAGAACAACATATTTTGTCCTGTATTCCCAATCTTTGTATATGTGGATTATTGGTGGAAACTAGCAGTAAACTAGTGTGAGCTGCGTCGGTGTTTCTAAAGAAACAGTTATGTAAAAAGATAAATATAACACCGTAAAAAAGAGTGTGAAATAACTTACTGACGTTTCGGACACTAATCCTTCGTCAGAGTAAAAGACGAAGGATTAATGTCCGAAACGTCAGTAAGAAATTTCACATACTTTTTTACGGTGTTATATTTATCTTTTTACATAACTGTTATGTGGATTATTGACTTGATTTAAAACAGCCATGTGACCTTCCAACTATTGACTACTGTCATGCTAAGAAGGTGCACTATAAAATAAATTGACCAATCAAATATACAAGTTTTTCATATTTAAAAGGTTACTTTGATGTAACATAATTGGGTGATGTTAGACATGAACCATATAGTTATAATTACATAACATTCAACATTCTTCCAATTGAATCAACAGTTTCCTTTACAATTTAATGTAACAATCTAAAAAGTGAATCAGAAGGAATGCGAAATGTGCAAAACTGATATTTTATTGTCAATATATAGCAGAAACTGATTAAAATATTATTTGTTTTCTCTTTAGAGGCCCAACATCACATGCATGATTATTATGAATGTGATTTCAAGGGTTAGTACATCAATACATTTCATTGAGACTTACAGGAGAAGAGGAAGGTTCTGGTAGTTCAAATACACACTTTAGTTTAGAGTCCATTAAACTTGAAGGATCTACTTCTTTCCACTACAAATGAAAAAAATTGCAATATTATAATGGTTGCAACTGAAGGTGCTTATGAATTGCAACCTACCAGAGTTTCTGCATATTCTGTTGCTGAATCAGGAGCAAACATAGTTTGTACCATAAACTTGTGCTTTGCCTTTTCCTTGGGATCATATTCAAATGGCTGAAGCATAACTGAATACAGAAAAACACAGTAATGAGAATTAATTAGACTTTAGACTTTTCTTGGATTACAGCATTACCATAAATTAATTAGGTTGCTTTAAATTCTTTTTGTACCAGCAAATTAACAGGCAGTATACTGTTGATGATGGGTCTCTACGATTGTTTTTGTAAATGGGGTATTTGGATATATAAAAGAAATGATATGGGCATGTCATTTTCAATTAAATGACACAGGAAGCTTATGTGATATCTTCATCCAACATGAGACAATAAAATTGTTATCTGCAAGCAACCATATAATGTCCTATTTATTAAACAGATATTTTGATAAAATTTGATTGAGGCAAAAGTTCAAAAAAGCAAGCCAAGTGTTTGACAACTGAAGCCAAAAAAATGCTCTTTGATTATGTGCTTTATATAATGCCATAAAAGAACCAATTCAGTGAATCTAGGCACATATACTTAAGGTACAGGAAACATTGAAAATTGCACTTCTTTGACTAATATATATATATTACTATGCCAACAGAGATATCTTGACTTGTTAAAGATGTGACATCTTACACATTCATATCTTATTAGTAAACTTTAAATATACATGATCACAAGGTCACTAAACTGACATGTGTATGCAAGTCATGGAGCCTGACAGGACTGGACTAGATGTTTTGTTTATATCTGTATAATAATGTTTTTTACATAATGATGCTATCTTAAACAGAAGATTAACCTAACCAAAACAACATGTTCAATGCTCAAGTGGTTGATTTAGTGCATGTACAAATCAAYAGGATATGAAATAGATCAGTAGATGTCTAGATATTTACCTAAAGCACCCTTCTTCAAAGTCAATAAATCAGCCATATAGGAATGCTTTGTTGTGATGTGTTGATTTACAATATAAAAAAATCAAAAGTCCTATTTCTCACTATCATSAACTTTCAAAGTAGGTATAAAAAGCACCCAACGTCTCATCTACTTTGATTGCAAAATTTTGAACTCTTTGTGCAGCAAGGGAAGTGACCTTGTCTACATGACGCGACAGATAATAATTTATATGTGCGAGTTTCTATCGATTAGCAAACGAAACTTATTGTAGCAATAGAATCATAGCTGCCAAAAAATCAAAGAAACAAAACATAAAACTCGATCCTACAGCTAGATTATACTCTAAAATAGTGGTGTTTACAGTTAAACATTACCTGCAACTTCGACAACAGCATTTGCCTCAATTATCCCACTGTTCGGTCGTACACAGTATCGCTTGGGCGCTGTGGTTTTCACCTTAAAACATACTCGCTGTTTGGATGGATTTGTAATTTTAAGAGTTGATGTCACCACGTCAGTAAATGGACCTATATTTGAGAGAAAATGGGATCTTAAGAAACTATTTGCCAATAATCAAAGAAGATGACTCAATGGCTAACTCTCCACATTACGACTTCGAACAATTTGCACTAATAATTTTATAGAACGACTCATACCTCGAAATCGTAGCTCAGTGGACGGTTCAAGGTCGACTACTTGTTCTGTCTTTGACATTTCTATTCATTTACTAAAAATACTACAGAAAGATGGTGAAAGAATGGGAATTACAAACAATTTCACATGTAATATTCCCAACAAATATGGCAGCCTCAGATGACGACAGGGTACACAACTGAACCTGCGCAATGCGAAAACTGCTGGAGTGTTGGACTGCAGGCGACGAACAGACAGATGTGTCTTTGTTCTCTGATGTAGTTTTTCAATATTTAATTTTTTGACAAATAAATCTTGTTTCTTAATATGAATTCGAATTTTTGAATTTTTCTTGACATTTTGCATGTATGTGGATAATGCCACTCTCCTTGTTCAGTCTCACTAGTTCTGACCATAGCCGGACTTGCTCATGTGCGCACCGAGTCAGCTGACTCATCTATAAAGCAACTAAGTGAATGAGCAACATTACCAACTGTGAAGTTTGGATTGAAATTCCTTCAATACACTCTCCTGGTTTTAATTTTTCTCCGCAATTACTGCGAGCGTTTTCGCGGTACATTTAAGGGAGGATAACGACTCGCCTTTTGATTTTCATGAGCCGTGAGGAAGCGAAAAACGCCTTAATCTATTGTAGCTAAGATGCTTAAATGATATAGTTATGAGTTTCATTAATGCAGGGCAAAATAGCTTGAGCCGAAAACAACATTGATTTTGTACAAATTTATGGGCGCAAAAAGCGACCCGCTAACAATGATGCCACTATAAATGTAAGTGTCACGTGTTTGTAAAAGCGTGGACTACCATACAAGTAGTCATGAGCCAATAAGAAATCATTGTTTTAGAGAGCCCTCATCACCAGAGTTGTAAACAATAATCGCTGCATGAAAAAACATAACCGTAACCTTTAGACTTTAGTTTCTGACAAATCATGGAAAACGTTACTCCGGTGTGTTTTGCCAACTTAGGTCACGGCCGTTTATAAAAAGAAACTATCACACATTACCTGCTATGTTATTAAACATCTGGTGTTATTTATAAAAACCGCTCCTTTATGACGTACCAATGGTTTATAGTCATGCTTTGTTTAGACCATCACTATCATTAATCAGTTTGTAGACATTTCAGTATAATCAACTGACTGACAAAACAGACCGGTAAGTCGATCACAAACGACAGCTACTAAGTGAGAACTGAAAACAAGTCTAAAATTGAACTGCATTAGCGACTTCTTAGTGGATGATGATGTTCACTCGATATACATGAGAAGATCCAAGTTTCGTGATGTATTTCATTGTTCGGTCGTTCTTCACACGGCGTGAACATAAAAACCATTGACTTTTTTCATTAAGTGAAATTGGTTTCCATACAGACACACATCGAGGATTTCAAAAAGAGGAAGAAGAATTGAGCGGAAGCGCTAAGGTCTTAAAGGATATTTCTTGTGAAATGCAAATGGAGGGAGAGGAGGGTGTCATGCAATCTCCTCATAGACGATGCAAGTCAGTGCCATCAATGAACAGCGGTAGTATTGAGTTGAATGATACTGGATTATATACGGTAAGGTCGAGAAGTGGCACAGACACTGGGCAAAGACTTGTGCCCTCAAATCGATCAAAAATACGTCTATCAAGCGGTGGACTTCTTCGAAGTCAAAGCAAAAAGCGACGAGCTAAAAACGGTAACGAAAAGTCTCGGTCAGTTGACTATGACATCGAAGAAAGCGATAAATCAACCAGAAAGAATTCTACTGAGTCGAATCCGTCGATAGAAGAAAGAAGTGAAGATTTTGTGTCTAGAAGAAGAAAATTCGGCGTTTCTGTGGCAAATAATCTTGTGCCGAAAAGACAAAACATTAAAATGCATAGAGAAGAGGATTTCCATAACAACGATGAACATGAACAAACACCCGTACAAGACATTGGTACGAGAACCGACGTGGGAGATCAACATCAGTCGAGAGATCCAGGAGTGTCAAAGCATATCAGCGATTTAGATAAAACACTTGACGTTGATAAAACCTTTAACGGCAACCAAGATATAAAGGAAGAACTGCACAAGTGTTCGAAGGGGCAAGAAACGATCTTGAAGTCCAGGCGACGATCACTTCCGGCCAAGTTGTCTAAATATCACGAAGACTTAAATTTAGATTATCGAAAAGGTCACGAACGTGATGGTGTACATGGAAATAGTGTTACCTTGCAAGAAATGCGAAAATTTCACTCATTGCCAACAGAATTAAATGAATGCTATTTATCAACAACCACACAAAAAATGGCTTTCATCAAACCAAACGAGAATCAGCCAGTCGACAACTTGGATCAAAACATGGAACTAGATCTTGGAGGGGATAAATTAACATATGACAATGAAGACAATGCATTTGAAGAAAATGACCAGTCTGCTTCAAGTGAGAATAAACAACGTGGTGTGACAAAAACAAAATCTATACCCCAAAATGTTGCAAAAGATAATGAAAATCAGTCAAGGGAACTTGAAGTATGTCACCAAATCTCACGATGTCAAGATGACAAACCACTTAAACATCATCGAAGAAAAAAACCAAAACAACAACGAAGAACCAAATCACTACCTGCTCTTTTGGTCTTAGAAGAAATTCCTGAAGTAAATGAGGAAGAGGGAAATTTTGACGATTCATTGGAAAGCATTGCAAGACTTCATGTAAATAAAGCGTTTTGTGAACTTCTCCGGAGAATTAGCATTAACCAAGCAAAGAAAGGAAGAAAGAAAGTGCGGCGAACACATTCTCTTTCAACAATACAAGAGCGACTTTATGAAGAAAATGAACAAAGTGAGAAACTAGGGACAGCAGTTCACAATCACGTGAAAGAAGATCACGCAACGCACGTGCAAGAGACTTACGATAACGTAAATATTGAACAGTTCGCTGAAGGAACCTTCCTACATAAAAACTTTGAAAATAATGGGCAGTGCGATGAAGGCGCTGAATATTGCGAAAGACATATAGAAAACTCAAAAGACAAAAATGAACGGCTAAAGGTAAACGAAGGAATGGATTTCGCAGGATATGCTCACAAAGAACAAGATGATTTTAAACCTGAGGAGACGTTTGGGGAACGAAATTATGAACGCATCAGGACACATGAGCAAAAAAGTGATGAAGCAAGGTCAAGTGAAGGTTTCTGCGAAGAGCCACATCGGCCCTCACAGTTACAACGTGATCATTCTGATAACTTTCTCACAAATGAAAACAATAAGAAAGTATTAGAAACGCAGCAAGTTCACAAAAAGAAAAAGAAGAAAAAGAAAAGACAAAAGAAGAAAAAAGGATTCCAATCCGAATCACCAGTAAATAACCAAGGACAACCAGAGTCTTTACCCGAGGATGACCAGGGGCAACGTATGAAATCTCTTGAGGATAACAGAGAACAACCAAAGCATCAGGAACAGTCCGTGCATTCTCTTGATGAAGACCAGCAACAACCAAAGCATTCTCTGGGTTGGGACCAGGAACAACCCAAACATTCTCTTGTGGAAGACCAGGAGAAACCCACTAATTCATTTGAGAATGACCAGGAACAACCCAAAAATTATCTTGAGGATGACCAGGAATCACCGAGGAATGTTGTTGAGAATGACCAGGAACAACCCAAGAATTCTCCTGAGGATGACCAGGAACCACCGAGGAATGTTGTTGAGAATGACCAGGAACAACCCAAGAATTCTCCTGAGGATGACCAGGAACAACCCAGACATTCTCTTGATGAAGACCAGGAACAACCCAAGCATTGCCTTGAAGACCAGGAGCAGCAAAAGAACTCTCTTGAAAAAGACCAGGAACAGCACAAGCATTCTCTTGATGAAGACCAGGAACAACCCAAGCATTCTCTTGAAGACCAAGAGCAGCAAAAGAACTCTTTTCATGAAGGCCAGGAACAGCACAAGCATTTTCTTGTGGTAGACCAGGAGCTACCCAACAATTATCTTGAGGATGACCAGGAACAACCGAGGAATTCTGTTGAGAATGACCAGGAACAACCCAAACATTCCCTTGTGGAAGACCAGGAGAAACCCACCAATTATCTTGAGAATGACCAGGAACAACCCAAGAACTCTTTTGATGAAGACAAGGAACAGCACAAACATTCTCTTGTGGTAGACCAGGAACCCAACATTTATCTTGAGGATAACCAGGAGCAACCCAAGAATTATCTTGAGGATGACCAGGAACCCAAGGATTCTATTGGGAATGACCAGGAACAACCCAACCATTCTCTTGATGAAGACCAGGATCAACACAAGCTTTATCTTGTAGAAGACCACGAGCAAACCACCAATTATCTTGAGGATAACCAAGAACAATCCAAGATATATCTTGAGGACGACCAGGAACAACCCAAGAATTCTCTTGAGGATGGCCAGGAACAACCCAAACATTCTCTCGAAGAAGACCAGAAACAAACCAAAGGCCAGGAGCAACCAAACTATACTCTTGAGGAAGACAAAGATCAAGCAAAACTTTCTATTGATGACCATGCACACCATAACTCTTCTCTGAGGAATTCCCAAGAGCAACTCAAACCTGCTCTTGAAAATAACCAGGGAATATCCGAGCTTTTGTTTGAGAATGACCCGAGGGAAACTGAACCTTCTCACTGCGATAATCAAGGGCAATCCTGGCATTCTGATCATCAAAACCAACTCGAGTATGAAAGAGTACCATCCGAGAGATATGAAACAGAAATTGAAAGATACAACCAGGATGCAGGAGTAAAAGCTGACGAGGTAATTGCACATTGTACAGACGATGACCGCTGTCTAACATTCAGTGAAGTACAAGAAGACAGTGAAATTTTCCACGATGATATGAACTTAGACATTCCAGACATCCAACTGTCAGAGGTGAGCGTTGGAAAAACCTTGGAGTTTGATGTAGACCAGCGTAATACACTTATTGCTATCGACAAGACGCAAGATGAATCTGAAAACTTTCAATGTGATATCTTACAACATGTACAAGCTATAGATTACACATCTTTAGATACTACAAAACCACAAAGGCCCAAGGTCCTCCCTTTAATGGAGCTTATCCCTGAAGTTGATTCTGACAATTGTGACAAAGAGGATTCGCCACGGACAGAATTAAACAGATGTACTAAGCCAGGAAATGAGGAAGAAACAACCCAAACATGTCGCCTTGAAAATAAGGCGATTCAAAAACGTGTCACGTGGTCTGAACATCTTATAGACGCTAAGTCACCAGAAACTCCTRTATCACCTGACCTAGAATTTTCGCATGCCATAGACACAGATCATGTGACTAAGGGAGATATCACTGAACAAGACAAAGACTTTGACGGTATATTAAGAGATGTCATCAACAGTTGTCTTGAACCAGATTACAGCACATCGAAGTCTGCAGTTCATCGTGCAGTCGCCCAAGGGAGTGTCGAGACCCTGGTATGTCTAATAGAGGACGGTGTTGATGTTAACGGTCTTGATGAACATGGCTGGCCTCCATTACATGTAGCCATGCTCACAAACAATGTTGACTGTGCTGCAGTACTGTTGGATGCAGGTGCTGACTTACAACATTACACGGATGCACTAATCCAGGAATACCGAACAGTTAGAAAAGACGCTACTAGCATTAGGTACGGGTAAACAAGGCCATGATTTGCCCATTGATACAGTTATGAATGGTTATTTAAGAACTTAACCACTTCATAGACGGACGAACTTACAAGAGTATAACACAAATCATCTTTAATACAGCTAAAATGTTATGATTTTACATAAATGCCGTTAATTGTATTGTTTTCTATCGTTAGACTAGAAGTTATAGTTATGAATAAATGAAAAATGCTAAAAACTCTTCGAGTTTGTTCTAAAATATGCTTCAGAGAAGTCTAAGGATAAGTGGCTAAGGATAATATACAGGGTACCATTTAAATTTATGAATTTTTCTATTATACAATTTCCGTTAGTCTAAATCATGTATTTCATAATATTAAAATAAACTATAAGCTTGTTAGACAAATTTTATGAATTTACAAAATGTGGATTAAAAAAATACAACTATTCTAAAATCTTATCACCGTTTCTACCATTTTCTACTTTTGTATGTAGTTACACTGTAGCTCTCAGCATTCTAGTGTCGTTTACGATCGGTTTTGAATATGAGTTTCTCCAATTGCATCATGGGGACTTCACATGTGACAGACACGATGTACGCAGCGAAATAGGAGACCGTGGTACAAGCTAAGAAATGCCAGGCCTGAAAATAAGAACAAAATTCATTGAGTATCCTATAAAACAACATTGATGGTTTTCAGTTCAAGTCACGGCAACCATGTTAATTGTACAACACTGTTCGGGACTATCATCAATGTGGCCAATGGCCTTTTGATTCTCGACGAAATAATTGAAAACCAGTTATAAATTATCATTGGAGAGAGTGAGAAGGAGTGTGAAGAAGGGAAAAGAGTAAGAGCAAGATCTTGTCAAAATAGGGCGGTTTTCGTTGTCAGTGACCAAACCTTGCAATATACTCTTGTGTACTTACTATATTGACGTCTGAGTAGAACATGACAGTTTGATAGCTGCCAAAATACGCCTCCAGTATAATAATATGAACCAAGTACACACAGTAAGTAAGACGACTTAAGGGAATCCAGAAACGAGCTGACAGGATTTTATCAACCAGACCTTTATTTGTAAAACAAAACAATATGTTCCTTTGTAAATATATAAACATTGTGCAACATTGTGTCGGTTTGAACACATTTTATCAATCAAAAGCAGCGCAGAGAAGACGAGTACCTCCATATCCAGCATGGCAGGCATAGATAACCCAAGCAAGAGCCAGCGACCATGAAATCCTTGAGAACGTTGCATAAAAGACATTTTCGGTAAGGGTTAGAGGCTGTGGGTTCTTTTTATAAGCTTTGTAAGTGCCATACAATGGAGCTAAAGCTAATACAATCGCCACACACCATCCACAGAGGAGAAGCCACTAATATAATGAAAAAACAATATCACTTAGTACCTCATCGGGCCAAAAATAAAGGCCATCTGGTTCAAGACCTGTAAGATTGCTGGCTCATTTTATTAGGAAAGCAATACCTTGAAAGCAAGCTAAACTGATAAGCTTATGGCATATTACTCAGAAGTGGTGGTGCAATTACTGTGGTAGTGGCATTTGTAGTTTTAGAATGATATTTGTGTAAGCTCTGTGATAATAATGGTGGTGGAAGATGAAATGTATTAAGTGGGGTGACAATAGTTGCAAACTGGTGGGTGATGATGGTGGTATTGGTGTCCAAGTGGTACTGGTGTAGTGATAATGGTGGTATTGTGGATTGGTAGGTTGATGATGGTGGCAATGGCATCCAAGTGGTACTGATGTAGTGATAATGGTGGTATTGTGGATTGGTAGGTTGATGATGGTGGTATTGGTGTCCAAGTGATACTGGTGTAGTGATTATGGTGGTATTTTGTGGATTGGTAGGTTGATGATGGTGGCAANTGGTGGGTTGGTAGGGTGACAATGACGACATTGGTGTCAATGTGGTACTGGTGGGGTAATGATTGCAGTAATGGTGGGTTGGTAGGGTGATGATGATGGTATTGGTGTCAATGTGGTAGTGGTGGGGTAATAATTGCAGTAATGGTGGGTTGGTAGGGTGATGATGATGGTATTGGTGTCCAAGTGGTAGAGGTGGGGTAATAATTGCAGTAGTGTTGGATTGGTAGGGTGATGATGGTTGTAAATGACTAAATCCTTACCCAAGACAGTGACCTGGATAACTTGTCCTTGAAAACATGAAACAGGTAGCCAAGGACCATACCAATAAGGTAGGGAGCAATACGGCAGTAGGGTTTGACATATACATAACTTTGATAGTCAAGTTCATGTTGATTCCTACATTGCAACACAGTTCATGTTATAATGATCACCTTGTTCAAGTACATATAACTCTTATTGCTATTATTATAGCAAAGATAGGAATGCAGGAATAAACAGTACATATACATGGACTTCAAGTCCTTTTCAATCAACGTAACTCCCACCCACTCATAAACAAATCAAAAAGATACTATTGTCTGATATATTCACGTCCTACCCTGGATTTTCACCTCCACCAAGCATAGCAGAATTAAACTCATAGTAGTCCATGATAACAGCATTAGAAATGATACATACAGACATCAAAATACCAGCAGACACAGTCATGCCATACTTGCCAAATCTATATTAAAAATTACAACAATTACTAATACATTTTACTGGTTTTAAATTTGTTAAAAAAATAATATACCTGTATGCTACATAAATCACAACAGGACTTATTACATAGAATTGCATGTCATTTGCCAAGTACCATGTCCAGTTCATGCACTGAAAACACAATATCACCATTATGAGATCTTGAATATACATACCGGCATATATCAAACACAGTCAATATAGCTGCATTTTACTATGACCATAGCACAGTCATGATGATTACTTACAGAACCTTGAAATGATGTGGGATAAAAGTTATTGATGTACAACAAATTTGTCCACCAATACTTATCACATGGCTGCTTTGTTTGCAGCTGATACCATTCTGGACCCTCACCCAAGAAGCTTAACATTTGGTCATAAAACAGCAACAAAAACATGTACACAGGAGTTAACCTAAACAAATAAAAAACTTTAAATAAAAACCTTAAAAATGCTGGAAACAAAAATAATAATGTACCTCCAAAATCGATGGAAATAAAATTTGAACAGATTCAGGCTTCCTTTTGTTTTATCCATTTGACGAAATGACAAATAAGCAACAAGGAGACCGCTACAGAGATCAGAGAAAACTATACATTAGGCACACTATTTAATTACCACCAAAAAATTCATTGTATTTGATAATGCAGCCTTACTATTGGTTACCAGAAATTTAAGTTGGGTAATTTAAAGTGATGGGTATTTCTATGTATAGATACTTGCTACTCGGTAAAGCGATTCACTAACTGTTTTCAAGCATTTCTAAGGATGTTTTTAGGAACAGTGAGCAAAAACAAAGTTCCTTTTTTTACATAAATGACATGCTGTTCCAACCACTCCCTTAAAACCCAGTATTCCTACATCAATATCATTAAAATGAATTCCTAGCCAATACCTTAAGAAGAAAAAGGAGTCAACAGAAAGGTTAGCATTCGAGATGGCTTGGAATGAGAATCTCTGCAAAATGGTAAATTCTTCAAGAATATTTGCTGGAAAACATTGAATATAACATAAATAATTATTAAAATAATCAACATTTTAACATAGCATGTCCAACACACTTACAATTAAGTCCACTAATAAGCTGCCATAGGAAAGTATGTCCAAGTACAACCCACAATATACTGAGGACTCTCATGCCATTGATGGATGTTATGGCATTCGGAGGAACATTGGTATTCATGATCTGGGTTGTATTTCGTATGAGAGAAAAAGACAGAAAGAATTCTTTTATGAAACCTGCAAATCACAAAAAGGCAAAACAATTAGCATGTTAGTATCAACAGAAATATTGTCTTATACAAGAGTGTGTGCAAAAAGTTGAGTACTGATTACTGAAATCCCCATAAGAGCAGGGATTGTTATATTCTATCTATATTAAATAGGATTATTATACAGTAGTTCTATATTAATGCTTGATACTACCTCAACAATAGAGATTAAATCACACTCACTTTGGTTATACTCAATAGTTTGATGCACCATTTCTGTCTCTTTTGAATGATCAGAATGACTTGGCTTACGAAACCTGTCTCTTCCTTTGACTGTAAAAGAGTCTTGTTCTTCTTGTGGAGATTCATTGGTTATTGGCACAAAACCATTAGACTTCTTGATAGAGAGTTGAGATACATAACTGGATGCTATGTCAATGATTGTACCACAGAGACACAGAAATAGCAGGACACCACATAGAGTGCTAAAAATACAGTAATCAGCTTTAACATCAATACATTTTTGCTGACTTTAATAAGACATTGCTAGCTGAAAAACTTACAGAGTAGCAATGACTCCACCAGTGTACTTTGAGGGTTTTGCACAGTTGACAGTTTTCATTTCTGGTGCCATTAATAGTGTAAATATATCTGGATTCAACTGAAAATATGCATCTAAGCCAAAAGCTGAAATCAAAAGAAAAAATTACAAAAGATTGCTTTTAATTTAGAACAAAAATCAATTATTAATCAGTGATAATACCTTTAATTATGTCTTGTAAACCAACAGCTATATCAGTCTCACTGCATTGTTTAGGTACACATAATCCCAATTTAAAGCCACTAGCAAATGGATTTCCTGGAGTGTTGCTACCCTGAATTGTAATAGAGAATATCTAGATCAGCATAAGTGATTATCAAACCTTTATTTCACCTTATTTTACTCAGGCTATACCGATAGGTCTACCAATTCAATCTATCTGCGTGTTATATCTCCTTTTGAAAAGCATAGCTAATCCAAACAGGCAGATGTCATATGGTTTAAATCCAAAGAGTAACACGAAGATATAAATAACCATCCAGATCTCTTTTTATACCATTACCAAACAGCAGCTCACTTCGATATCATGTGATGCCACATATATATACCACCTGACTGTGGGAAAATTGGGTATAATATAATACTAGTAAAATCTCCACCTGATATTATTGAAATGTCCTGTCCATCATATAGTAGTGAAAAATTGATGCTGCCCAAGTAAAATCTCTTAAGCATCTACTGTTGAGTATATAATATATACTCATGACTAACAAAGACAGTACTCTTGTAACTACAAACATCATTGCAATTTTTCATGAGTTAAGAGTGGCAATACAAAGGACACCGGATTACACAATGATAGTGTTTTGTTGTCAAACTGATACCGTATGTTTAACATACATTTTTAGGTTTTGGACCAATATTAGCCAAGCAGTATGATGAACCAGATATTGCTTTACATTCACTGTATGAACCCAGCCATACCATACTACCAACTTTAATACCTGCTCCAGGTTTACCCATTGCATCAATATCTACAAAAAAAAATCATGAATGATGGGAGGGAATATAAATGGGGGAAAGGGTCCTTGTCATCTCTTCAAAATCATTGCTTTGCTTATAAGGTGATAATAATGAGAAAGCATCAAGAAAATTCCTATTTGAACTTTTAATGTTTTTTTTGGTACAACTTACATTATAACACCTACATAAAATACTTGCTTCTGATTGGCTGAAATAGTCAATCCCATTAACATTGTTCAATTGTAAAGCAAAAGGTGTGAGTGGCTTGGCACAAATATTGATGAAAACAAGACCTTTGGGTATGACCCTGTCAAGTCTGGAAGAATATTCCCACCATATAGTATTTGTGAATACAAATGAGATATCTATATTTTTTGCAAAGGATGCTAGCGCTGGCTTGATCTGTAGAGACTTCCACATAATAAAAATGCAGAAATTTGGAGTGGAAGTTTCTAAAGGAGAATTTCATTGATTTTGACTCTAGATTGAAAATGATTCAAAATTTAGGCATTTGAGCAGAGATGTTCTGTCAGGGGTTAATTCGAACAAGACAAGGCACAAGAGTTACAAACTTGCAACAAACAAATGGCTGCTCTAATGAATTTCTGGCACAAGAACATCCAGAAATTGCAACATAGGTAGTTTTGAAATGCAGATGGGGATATGGCTATACTAACCTGAGTATCAGGCCTTCAAGGGAGTCTAGTGGCAGAGAGAAAGGGAAAAAGGAAGGCCTGACACAAAAGGAGTTTTATGCTGTGTCAAACATTCAGAATCCGAATGTTCTTCTGATTGGTTGGTTGAACAATAGAACCTTAAAGCGGAAGTGAAACCCAACTAAGGTGCAAAGTTGAGGTCACGTACAGTTTTGTCTTGACAGCTAATACTCGGTTTACTGCTACTCTATAATTTTCTAAAATCTCAATCACTTTTAAAGAATCATTCACTAATGATGAAGAATGTAAGGAAGCAGAATTAATATGTTTGAAAACACTGTCTTCGACAGCCAACTTGATACAAGAGAAAGTTTATCAGTTATTCCCCAAGGTTTTGAGCAGCCATTCATTGGTATCGAAAGGCAGGAGAGGTGAGGTAAATGAAGATTATTGTGCTAAGTCCTCTGGGTCTAAAATTTGAAAGCAACACTGCAAACGCGGCACTGGTTTGAATGGGTTTGGATGCCAACGGACATAATCAGGCCGTGTGAAAATGTTAGCGTGACAACTGGAAGCGATTTTCATTGGCTACTGTATTAACGGTCTACCAAGGGGGTAACTTTCGTGTCAGGCTCTCCCTTGTTCTTCTCCTTCCATATTTCCCCCTCGAGAGCCTTATACTCAGGTTATGGCAATACCGTCTAATAGGGGTCTAATAGGGTGACCCTCAGCAGGGGGCCATTTTTCAACCAGACATCGCACTTGATGTGTGTATTTTTTTCCTCCAAGATAGAGCAACATACTAGTGTAGGAATTTAACCCGGGGGGGGGGGGGGTACTCCCCGAAACTTGGGTGAGGGTGTGCTGCTGGGACCTCAAAACCCTGACCCTGTTCCAGAGTGAAATCGCTGATAACTATACCCTGTTCCAGAGTAAAATCGATGAAAACGATACTCTGTTCCAGAGTAAAATCGCTGATAACTATACCCTGTTCCAGAGTAAAATCGATGAAAACGATACTCTGTTCCAGAGTAAAATCCTGCACTAGCTTACATGTAGTCCGAATTTTTACCCCATGAATTTTTATCCAGCATCAATAATTCTGGAATTCAACCCTGACCCTGTTCCAGAGAAAATTCGTTGAAATCGATACCCTGTTCCAGAGCAAAATCGCTAAAATCGATACCCAGTTCCAGAGTAAAATCGCTGAAAACGATACCCTAGCTGGTGGCACGTCCCCGTATAGCGAATATAGGGGAGTAACCCCCCCGGGAAATTTAAAAATTGTATTGAAGGAAAAAGTGAAATGAAAGATACGATTTTTCAGGAACAAAATTCAATTCTCCTTACAACCCTGGATGGAGCACATTTGGTGTTCTTCAATTGCAATTTCAGGGACTTTTAGGAGCATCGGCAAATAGAGGACCGATAATTCCAAAGGCATGAGGTCTCAAATTTCTACTGTGCGAACAGAGCTCCTTTTCCCTCGCTTCTAGGCGGGTGAGAAAAGTAGCTCTGTTCGCACAGTAAAAATTTCTGACGATCATATATTAATTATATCCTCACCCTATAATTTCTATGGGTTATGGTGAAAAACTGTCATCGATCTTTGAAACGGATACTCCATTTTCTTAGTAACCTTAAACATGGCCAAGTTAAATAACGTGATATTTTTACTATTAATTTCCTTATTGCTTAATTTCCTTACTGTAGCATGCTCCCTACTGTACATTATTCAATCGAGCTCGCGTCTCGAACACAGCAATTTTTCGCCTTAGGCAATCTGGCTAGCGTGCGTTAGACCGGCTTTTAGCGTGAAATGTGAAGACGAGTTATAAAACAAAAAAACACCTCCAAAACAATAGAAAACTTACAGGTACTTACATGTAGTCAGTAAATCAGTGTTGTTGGACGTTTCCAAGTAAACCAGNGTACTCCCCGAAACTTGGGTGAGGGTGTGCTGCTGGGACCTCAAAACCCTGACCCTGTTCCAGAGTGAAATCGCTGATAACTATACCCTGTTCCAGAGTAAAATCGATGAAAACGATACTCTGTTCCAGAGTAAAATCCTGCACTAGCTTACATGTAGTCCGAATTTTTACCCCATGAATTTTTATCCAGCATCAATAATTCTGGAATTCAACCCTGACCCTGTTCCAGAGAAAATTCGTTGAAATCGATACCCTGTTCCAGAGCAAAATCGCTAAAATCGATACCCAGTTCCAGAGTAAAATCGCTGAAAACGATACCCTAGCTGGTGGCACGTCCCCGTATAGCGAATATAGGGGAGTAACCCCCCCGGGAAATTTAAAAATTGTATTGAAGGAAAAAGTGAAATGAAAGATACGATTTTTCAGGAACAAAATTCAATTCTCCTTACAACCCTGGATGGAGCACATTTGGTGTTCTTCAATTGCAATTTCAGGGACTTTTAGGAGCATCGGCAAATAGAGGACCGATAATTCCAAAGGCATGAGGTCTCAAATTTCTACTGTGCGAACAGAGCTCCTTTTCCCTCGCTTCTAGGCGGGTGAGAAAAGTAGCTCTGTTCGCACAGTAAAAATTTCTGACGATCATATATTAATTATATCCTCACCCTATAATTTCTATGGGTTATGGTGAAAAACTGTCATCGATCTTTGAAACGGATACTCCATTTTCTTAGTAACCTTAAACATGGCCAAGTTAAATAACGTGATATTTTTACTATTAATTTCCTTATTGCTTAATTTCCTTACTGTAGCATGCTCCCTACTGTACATTATTCAATCGAGCTCGCGTCTCGAACACAGCAATTTTTCGCCTTAGGCAATCTGGCTAGCGTGCGTTAGACCGGCTTTTAGCGTGAAATGTGAAGACGAGTTATAAAACAAAAAAACACCTCCAAAACAATAGAAAACTTACAGGTACTTACATGTAGTCAGTAAATCAGTGTTGTTGGACGTTTCCAAGTAAACCAGAGCTTGAGTACATTCACGAGAAATGTTTTTCGTGCCCTTTACAGCTTGTGCAAGGCGGTTACGATGGAAATCATCGATATGCTGTCGAGATTTTAGCAGCATTTGTGGCGTAACAGCCCCACAACGTAAAATGCATGTTGCTATCATACATAAGACGCATGTTAGGATCTTTTTAAGCTGCATTTTCAGACGTTGGCGGGCATACAAGTATTCTGGCTATCGCATGACCTGGCGCTGCATGCAACGTCTTTGACTCTGTCTCTCGAGACTTTTTCTTTGTACACACGGCCTGGTCACGTGAAACAAAAATGCCTCGTCATTGTCATTAATCGTGACACTCATTAATCACTCAGTTAAAGAAACAGATAGAAACAAAAGCAAAGAAATGTTTGTCCATTTTTTTCTACTGAGTTAATTTTATGGGCTAGTTAGGGTGGGCGATCGGCTGCTTATTATTCATTTCACGTTTACCTTTGAGATAGACTACTAGTAAGTGCTGGGGTTCCTGTGTCTCCTAGCTCAAACATCGCCAAAGGTCCTGGCCTCCAGGTGATAAGGCTGCTACAAGGCGGGATCCTACAAAGATGTTACTAAATCCTCACTGCTTTGTTGCCTTGATATCAATAACATGTATTTTAACTTGCTTTGCTGTTACACCACAAATGATGCTACAATCACGGAAGAAGATCGAGGATTTTCATCGTAACCGTCTCGCACAAGCTGTCAAGAACGCGAAAAACATTTCTCGTGAATGTACTGAAGCTCTGGTGTACTTGGAAACCTCCAACAACACTGATTTGCTCAAAACATGTAAGGAAGTTCATAACTATAAGAATTAATGGACAAACTTTGAGCATGAAGTGAAGTAAGCCTAAGTTTAAAAGTTATAGAAGTTAAGTTAAATAAGCTTATGTCAAAGGGTGTCTCCAATCGGCTGATCCCTGGGCAACACCAGAGATTATACTGTGGGAATAAATATTTTTGCAATGTTATAAGTCCATGGATTTTATGTAAGTATTGTATTTTTGCTTCAAACGACATGTAATTGTTGAAATATTTCAACACCATGGTCTATTTATAGATGTTGATGCAATGGGTAAACCAGGCAGTGGTATTAGGTATGGTAATTTAGATTGGCTTGGTTCATACAGTGAATGCAAGGCAATACCTGGTGCAACATATTGCTTGGCTGGAATTGGTGCAAAACCAAAGAATGTATGTATGTCTTTTACAAATTTATTCATATTTATTTCTCCAATGTAATGATTCCATAGCAATTTATTTTTTATCCATCATGTAAAAGTTTGCATAAGTTTGAATATGCTATTTCATGGTCAATACTGTACAGTCACTGCAGGAATTGGGAATGTTTTTATTTATAGTGATTTAGTATATAGCTATCTTCAACTTTTCCTTGCTTTAATTCGCATGCAGGGCAGCAAAACTCCTGTAAACAATCCACTTGCCTCTGCTACCTTTAAATGGGGATTATGCGTACCCAAACAATGCAGTGAGACTGACATTGCTGTTGGTTTACAAGATATCATCAAAGGTAGACCATTGTTTTTAAGTTGCAATAAATTGTTGTATTTAAGTGCTTATATTGAATATTTGCAGCTTTCGGACTGGAATCTGTCATACAATTAGTTGATGATCTGGGTCTTAAAAGTACAGCATCTATTGCAAAAGCTGTCAACTGTGCAAAGCCATCAAAGTACACTGGCGGAGTTATCGCTACTCTGTAAGTTTGTTAATCATTACATTTAATTGACAGAGGGGTTTACACTAATATTTGTTTGTATAACATTAGAAACTGATTACTGTATTTTTAGTACTCTATGTGGTGTCCTGCTATTTCTGTGTCTCTGTGGTACAATCATTGAGATAGCATCCAGTGTATCTCAACTCTCTATCAAGAAGTCTAATGGTTTTGTGCCAATAACCAATGAATCTCCACAAGAAGAACAAGACTCTATTACAGTCAAAGGAACAGACAAGTTTGATACATTAACTCCAAGTTATTCTGAACATGCCAGAGAGACACCAGTTGTATATCAACATAGGCAACCTAGTGAGTGTTCTATAATATCTTTCATATAATTTTTTGCAATTAGTAACTAGGCACTGTCAGAGCTATGTAAGATTGAATGGCACCATCTGAACTTTATATTGTCAGTATTAAATACATTGATTGAGCCTAACCCTAACCCTAAAAACACAACCAGACCTTTGATCTTGGGCATATTAATTATTAATGAACTATACTATTTTTCACCACACAGATTCCGTAAAGGAGTTCTTCTTGTCTTTCTCACTAATACGAAATACAACCCAGATCATGAATACCAATGTTCCACCTAATGCCATAACGTCCATCAATGGAATGAGGGTCCTCAGTATATTGTGGGTTGTACTTGGACATGTATTTGCCTTCTTAGCTACAAATGGACTGGTTTGTAAGTATGCACTAATAGCAGAGGACAGTGACAAGAAAACCATTTACTGGTATTTTGTTGAGGACACTAACTCTCTGTATTTTTTCACTTTAGCTAATTTAGGAATCCTACGAAATATCTTACAAAGATTCACATTTCAAGTAATTCTCAGTGGTGTATTTGCTGTTGACACATTCTTCTTTCTAAGGTGGGTGACTCTGGTGGTATACTGCAAAGAGAATTGAGCTGAGTACATTATTAATAGACATGCAAACACTCTTCCATCACACCAGTTTTTGACATCCTTCATTTCATAAATTCCAGATGGTTAGACTATGAATAGAATCTTGGACAGCAAGTGTTCCTACTAATAATGTCTAATACTTCTCTTCTTTCTTTAGTGGACTCCTTGTTGCTTATTTGTCATTTCGTCAAGTGGATAAAACAAAAGGAAGCTTGAATCTGTTCAAATTTTATTTCCATCGGTTTTGGAGGTATTAGATATATCAATTAATAATGATTATCACACTTTTAATGTTGTTTTGATAACATATTGTTTGATTAGTTTGGTTATCTTTTAGGTTGACACCTGTGTACATGTTTGTACTTCTGTTTTACGATCAGCTAACTCAGTTTTTAGGTGAAGGACCATTTTGGTATGAAATACAATCCAAGCAGCCATGTGATGAATATTGGTGGACAAACTTGTTGTATATCAACAACTTCTATCCAAAGGCAGAAGTATGTAATCTGCTAATACTTATGTATTGAAAGAATGGAGATATGATTCTAATAGTTTTTAAGGCCTGTTGCTGATAGTTTTGATCATTTTATTTAAATGGCTACTTATAGTAGTTCAAGAATTAGTTCATAAAATATACTTTTGTCATGATTTTAATTCATTCATGGAAATTAGTAAGAGGTCACCTCACTATCAAAATAATTAATAATGGTTTTGATGATGTACCTTTTTTGACATAGTGCATGGCTTGGGCTTGGTACTTGGCAAATGATATGCAATTCTTTGTCATCAGTCCTTTTATCATCTTTGCAGCTTACAGGTAACAGTAGTTTCCTCTGATGCTATTATCTGTGTATTATTTTACTTGAATTTTGCGATTTGTTTCAAAGTTTCATTATTCTGTATTGTATTTCATTAATTTTTTGGTGTTAATTCAGGTTTGGTAAGCGTGGCCTTGGTTTATCTGTGGGTTTGCTTCTCATGGCAGGTTTCATTTCTACGGCTGTCATTTTGGATTATTACAAGCTTGGTTCTACAATACTTGACATGAATGCTGGGGTTGGGTAGGTAGCTGATATAATTGTGCTGTACATTAAGATATCATCATTAGGTTCATGTATCCCCAAGACAATAGTCCAGGCTGGGAATCAAACCAGGACCACAACGGTGATAGACCAGCGTTTTAACTGCTCAGTCATCCTTGCTCCCCAAGGATATACATAAATTTATCTCATACTCGTTGCATAGTATGATTTTACAGGAATTATACAAAATTGTAAATGTGCATGGAGAGAAAGCTATATCAATTTTTTATTGAATTTTTCTGTTATGTTTTATGGTGAAAATGTGATTGGGATACTTGTGTGCTTTGCAGTTTGTTCTGACAGTAAAAATTCCTTTTTTTCAGGAATGCAAATTTCTTTCAGTATGTATATGTCAAACCCTACTGTCGTATTGCCCCATATCTTGTTGGTATGGCACTTGGCTACCTTCTTCATGTGATTAAGGATGGTCCACCCAGAACACATTCATGGGTAAGTTGTTATTGGCAACAGTTGCTCAGCTCATGTCTACCATAAAGGAGTTTTATATGTTATTGTATTTCATGATGGTCCTTACACATGTTGTATTTCAGTTGTTTATTCTTTGTGGATGGTGTGCAGCCATTATACTGGCATTATCTCCAGTTTTTGGTACTTACAAAGCTTTCAAGAAAAACCCACAGCCCTTTACACGCACAGAAAATGTTTTCTATGGAACATTTTCTAGATTTTCATGGTCGCTGGCTCTTGCTTGGGTGATCTATGCCTGCCATACTGGATATGGAGGTATAAGTGATATGTATTCAGGAAGATTTAATTTCTGGAAGCTTTCTTGAAAAAAGGTGACAATTTTGAAGTTTAAAAAAATTCTCTTTTATGAAGGTCTGGTTGATAAAATCCTGTCAGCTCGTTTCTGGATTCCTCTAAGTCGTCTTACTTACTGTGTGTACTTGGTTCATCTTGTTGTCCTGACAGTATACTTATCCAGCTACCAAACAGTATTGTTTTATTCTGATGTCAATGCGGTAAGTGCAAATATTAAGAATTCATCCCATGGTTATTACTATGACAATAAATTGTTTTGTTTGTTTGTTTGTTTTCAGTCCTGGCATTTTATGGCATGTACCACAATCTCTTATTTTGTGGCATACATCGTGTCTGTCTCATGTGAAGTTCCTATGATGCATTTGGAGAAACTAGTCTTTAAAACTGATCGTAAATGACAATAAACAAGGAATGGATGATAAATCCTCACAAGCTCAGATATATTTTAATAATAAATAAATGATTTTTGAGCAATAATTATTAACAATTATTAAGTGATTTTTTATAAAATGTAATGCAGGAATATAATATTATCCTTCTTGGTTCCTTGAGCCATCCTGAAAGGTGCAGCTCTGTCTTTGCATCAAAGTGGGCAATCACCACCTCACTTTGATGCAGGGCAACCTTTCAAGGTGGAGCATGAAATGATGTGGAGGAGCCTATTATTAGACTTATGTATCAAAAGGTCTGAAAAATAATTTACTCTCCTTGGCTTGACAATAGCCTAATTCTATACACTTGTTAATGTTTAATATATATATAATATTTCTTAGAATAGTAAGACATTAGTTTGATTTGTCTTTTTGAATTTTTGCAATTTTAGTAAAACATTTAAAAATTGAAATGATAGAGACGAATATAATATTTTCTTTAGTTTGATCTGCAATGCATATCATTCTAATAAGATAATACATTAATTGTACTTTCAATGGGTTTTCCATTATAGACCCAAGAGTTGAATGCAATTAGAATGATCAACCTCCAGGCTTCACCCAGTGTCACTATAGTGATTTCTCATAAGAATAGTATCTCGCACTAATATGACTGTGTTTTTACATGTTATCAAATATTATTTAGAATTAAAAGCGTAATTTTTAAATTTACAGTGTATCAATTAAATTGTAAAAACCTGACAATGCTTTGCAGAATCTTTTTGACATTATTGATAGGACAGAAAATAATGTTGTTTACAATTAGTTTTTTCAATTATATTATATGACTGTGTCATATAGTATATATCAATGAATGTGAACCAAATTGTGTTATCTGGAAGGCTTAAATCCAGAATTAACAGCCCATCTTGAGAAGTTTGTACTTGACGAAGGAGAGGCTGATCCATATCCTGGCAAGGATCAAAAATCATTTAGTATCAGATAGACAACCCAGATTTTAATGCTCAATGGATCTTAATGCCAAGTGTTGTTATGGGAAAAAGGAAAAGAGTTAGGGTTACAATTAGACTTGCCAAAATGTCAAACTCTCTTTTTTGGACTCATGAAATGATAGTCTCCTCTCGCAGGGGGGGAGTGACCTGGGAACGAACGTCCTAACGTCTACGAGAGGAGACTAATGAAATGATAAAATTTTAAAAACCAAGAAAAAAGAATTGAATAAAAGTAAAAAATTGGGACATTGTACAAGACTATGTTGAAACAAACAAGAACATAACTAAATGCTCATTGAAATCTAAAAGATATTACCACTAGTTAGTGGAGATTTGCTGTGGTTGCCCTCTGATATAGACTCCTTGAATTGTTGTCTCTCCCTGTCCTGTTGAAATCAGTAAATTGTTAATTACCAATTTTCTTCCATTTTTGAGGGGGGGGAGGGGGTGGTTAATTCCTCTTTTCATACTAATTCAAAATGATTTTGATAAGACTCTCCTGTTAGCCTATTTGGGTTCAAGCTGCTGTTCAATTTTCGAACTTTTTTGCAGTTTTTAAAATGGCAAATTAAAAAATTGTAAATATAGGTTATTCTATAGAGCTCAACACTTGATTCCTAGATATACCTTTCCTACATTCAGCTCCTTAATGGCTGATAGTATCTGTTGTCTGGCATCTTTGTGAGTTACACCAAGAAACTTCAGATCAACCTCATTTAAAGTAAGAAAGGCTTCCATGTCCACCTGAAATTCATGTATTATATACTTTTGCAAAAATTCAAAATTCATTTTTGGCAAAACTGCCTTTTAGTTTATAGGTGTAAACCATGGTATGGCCACATGTAGTATATTGCCTGCATAGTGTAGACACAAGCCACAGATTAAAACTTGATGAGTTTTATATAATTTCAGTCTTATTTTCTACTAGTATGCACCCTTCTCATACCTCCTGTTCCTCAAACATAGAATTGTATTTTTCAAGTGATAATTTCTTCAAAATATCAGCAACTTCATCTGTTTGAAAAAAAAAAAAGAACAAAAAAAGAACAACTTTTAATATTAAAGTCAAAATAAACAACAACACTTTTCTTTGCCAATTTAATTAGAAAATAATGATGTAGGAGCATATCTTACATATATGAAAGCTGATCATTCAAGAGGAATGGGAGAAGGTAGGGAGGGTCAAGAATAGCAAATGATGTTTTTTTTGCATGGATACAAGTTTCAAGTATTAGCACGGTTGCAGTTCTGTATTGCTATATTGAGCTATGTTGTTAGCATGTATATATCAAGGATTTTGAGGAAAATAAAATTATTAAATATACCTTTTTCAGTGTTTTCTGATATTCTTCTGTGTGTTCTACAAGAAATACCATCATCACTTCTTGACCCTGACATGTGTTTTGAAGACTTATTCAAAAGAGAAGGATGAAGTCTGGTTGGTGCAGATGCTGCTGATTTCACTGATATCAATGTTGGTGATGGGCTCTGCATAGGTCTTGTTGCTGGTTTGTTGCGGAGTGTTACCAATGTTTTTCCTGGAATATCTGATGAAGGGCTTGCTGCCTTCAATGTCCTTAAAAAATAGCAAAGATTAATCACAATCTGAAAAATAATGTCTTATATGGTGTAATGTTGTACCTGCTGCCTGAGGTGTTTGATGAAAAATGGCTGCCAGTGGAGAAGGATGACTCTGGGCTCCCATTAATACCCACCATACTGCGATGATATGCTGAATAACCACTTACACTGCTCTGAAAACGCAATATTTAACTGTTTTATAATAGGGAAAATTATGTATGTGATGTGCATTCAAGAAGTGGAAGTATTTATTTGGTTGCATATCTCAATGACATTCTTGTTAGCAAAAATTAGTGCTGTTAAAGTACTTCAATCTTGGGATTTAATTTTATTTCAGCATTCACCACTTTATGTTTATTTAAGGAATAAAAGACGAAATTCCGTGTTTGAYACTCTGATCAAAACACGCGGGATGTAGGGAGAGCACGAGAGAAGCGTAGGAAACCACGACGCGTAGCGGAGTGGTTTCCAGCTTTTCGAGTGCTCTCCCTACATCCCAAGTGTTTTGATCAGAGTATCAAACACGGAATTTCGTCTTTTATTTCTTTTCTAAAATTAAAAGAATAAAAGAAATTTTTGACGCGCACGAGCGTGTTTTGATACTGTAATCAAACATGGTTTTCGACCAATCACAGCGCGCGTAGTATCCTAAGTATTTTAGAATGTTGTATCATGTTTATTGTTGTAATCAATTATTTTTTATGAGATCAACCCAAAACATTGAGGATTAAAAGAAAGTCCTAATGGGTCTACTCTAATAGACCCAATATGAAAATTTGAGTCAATATCAAACTAAGAAAATACATGCAAGCATGTAAATACATCAAACAAATTAAGTAGATTTCATTACAATGTTATCCAGGATATCTGTAACTGATGTAGGAGGGTCTGGTATGTACCGCCCATTGACACACAGACTAGGAACCTGTTTGCATAATGTCAACACCATTATTTAGTTAGTCAGCATTTGAATGTCTAAAATTGATTTATTATACAGTTAGAGTGATGATCATTTTAAGTTAAGAATTAGAATTGCTTCTGAAATTTTCAAATCATTATATTTTAGTACTACTTTCTATTGGGTGTTACTGTGTGATAGTGCTGATTTATGGATTGAGGTTTATGTTTACTTTTCCAAGAAAGGGTTTATTAAATTATTACAAACAGCACAAAAAATATCTGTTAATTAATTTTTATAATTATTTCATTTTTTAGATACGGTATTTTATCTAAAGTGATAACATAAATATACTTTTGTAGTATAATAAAATAGGTTGATAAGATTTGCAATGACTGTTCAGGAATTTTGATACAAACCAAGCGGGGAACAGTGTCTTCATCTTCACCATGTTCTACTTTTATTTGTGTTAATTCAAATGATGGTGTTGGCATGGATGGAGGCACAACAGGACTGATTACATCATCTGGTAACCTTGACACTGGTGACCCTAATGGCTGGTTACAGATAGCTAATATTAGTGGTAGCATCTTTCAGTGTCTTTGAATCATTATTAAAATAGGTTAATATGAAACACTGTCAATGCAGACTACAGCTACGATTGATGCGCTAGATTAACTACAACAAAAAAGGTTATTTACCAGTGTCTTGGACCTTTTGCTGTGATGGCCCCCAGCCTTTAAAGCTGAATCCACAACTTACAATCAAAGTAAAAAGAGTGTAACAAATTAATTAAAAAAAATAATAGTTTTCTATGAATTTAACAAGCCCTTATAGCTAATATCATATTCCACTGATAACATTCTAGTGACATATCTACTGTTTCATCAGTGAAGAAATAGGTCATTATATCATTCAACAATGCATTATATCATGGAATACAAATGCTTTAAATTAACTCTGTTCCAAATACCTTACCAGAAACTAAAGACTTGGCCGAACCTGAACTTTGAAGCAGGTCTTCAGTAGCACTTGTGCTGGAATTAGAGCTGAAGTCTTTGGCTATGCTCTTCTTGTTATCAATATCGACTGATGAAACTCTTATTGTGCGAATTAAAGTTAAATTCTTCAATCTACTTGACATTTTTGACCACCAGGTCTAAAATGATAATTAATAAATCAAGCATTATTACACATATTTTTACAATTCCTCTTGATGGAACATAACTAAGAAATGAAAATAACCATATATCTTATAAATTTAGCATTACAAAAAGAACAGTAATACTTATACCCTCAATCCACTCTTGCCGATATCCTGTCTGTAAAGAAAAGTTTTCAGATCAAAACAACTTTGATAACAGTTTACATGGGTAGCTCCACAAGCAATGAGGGAATTGGTAAATCCAATAGCTATGTTGATTAGATGTATATAGCTATGCACAATGGCATATTAGTTTAACAGCTTACACTTCACACTTGGCAATTTCTTTGCTAGAAAAATCTCTTGATGAAGTTCCAATAGGTTCATTCTTAGACATATTATCTGACCATGAAATCAATCGACCATTACCTGTCAGAACATAACAAGAATGTATTATATAACCCTCAGTCAGGCTGTGATTATTTAGAAAACCAGACATGAAAACCATGTCATATACTGCAGTATCATTAATTATAATTGTCCTAAGTAAAACCATTAGCTAGTTCTTACCATTCTTATGGTTTCCAGGCAACTGCATTGTTACTGATGCAAGAAGTCTTACTATCTCAGTATCCCCTGAAATAAAATAGAATGATACATGCCCTTCATATACATGTAGGATACAATACTTAATTGTTTGCCCAAAATGCAAATCCCAGGTTTTTGTTTCAGCAAAACACATATTCCTGTGTAACCTTAACGCTCTTGCAGAGAAAAGCTAAAACTTTCAGTTGAGACATGGGTTGCTAAAAACATTGTAGAGAATATAACATACAACTGTACATTGAAATCATGTCTTGTTATTAATTACCTATTATTGTTGCCATATCAAATGCTGTATAACCCTCCTCAGCTCTTACATTGACATCAGCAGAATGGTCCAGCAGTAGCTTAACAATATGCTTGTGACTATTTTGATAATAATAATAAACTTACATGAATAACCTTGAAAATAAGGTCATTGGGAGTATCATTTGTTTTGCAATATATACCTAAGCAATTGACAGAACAATTGTCAAGCTATCAAAGTCACCTCTCTGATGGTGTGACAAAATAAAAAATAAAAATAAAATAGAGATGTGTAAATTACCATGCCAAAGATTTTATTTTTCAGTTTTAGAACTGTTGTAATAAAATGTTACCTGTAATATGTAGCTTGCATCAGAGCTGTCCATCCACTAATTCTATCTTGACTATCAATATCAGCACCTTTGTCTAGTAGAAGTTCCGCTACATTATGATGACCACACATTGCAGCAAACATTAATGAAGTTGCACCATCTTCATCTATGAAAAGAAGTCACTGACATAAAGAAGAAGAAAGATGCAAATAAAAAATGGAAAGGAAGGAATAAATAATAATTATCATGAATATAAGTAGCAAGTACCATTATAATAAGATATTTAATGATTTGGTCCATTTGATTAATTGGATAATTAATAATTAGATTAATTAGATTAGATTAATTAGATAATTCATTGACATGAAAAACTGTCTTTTGGGGAACTGCTGACACTGGATGTAATTTACAACCAGTAGGTATACCTGCAGTGTTGACCTCAGTTTCATCTATTTCCAGCAGTTCACGTACACCTTGTAAGTCACCTACAAAAGCCAATATTTACATAAGCAAACAAGTATTTCTACTAAGTACTACCATTGTTTACATGCAAAGGAATACAGGAGCCTAATTGAAAGCCAATTTGATTTCTAAATAGATCCTCTCGGAGCAATGATGTCAGACAACTTCTGTGATAAATATGATATATTGACATAGTGTGCTTTCTCAGGTTTGATTGACATTGAGTCAAAATAAAAGATTTGCATGCCATTTTGAATTCCCATAATAATCACATGATATGTGACATAAATTTCCATATAGTAACAGGACATATACACAGTCAGATTGTCAACAAGGGTCAAAACCTATACTTGCAAAGTAAAACAATTTTTTGTAAAAACAGAAATCTGTCTCTTGATGTAGTGTGAAGAGCTGTTTATTTAGTTATTGGTTTTCTTGTTTATCAATGATTCTACTGCATTTAAAACAATAGATTGTTATGACGTGATAATTGATGTCATGTTACTTTGTATCTAAGGACTTCCAATGATGAATTCTGGATCAACTCTGGAATACACTTACCACTTCTAGCTGCTTCAATTATACTTGGTCGTAATGTCTTTTGGCCTATAAAAAAATATGGGAATTATTAATTATTCCATGATAAATGTGTGCACTCAATTGAACAATCATTAGTCCTATTAGTCTAATCAAACATAAGCGTATCATTATTAGCCCCATTTATTGCTAGCATCTCTTGCAGTTCTTTTTTCAGTCTGCTTTCTCCAAAGTACTTTTAAAGATTACCAAAGAGCTAGCAAAATTATAACGTACAAAGTGCAGCTGTGCCTAGCTATGCTTCGTGCTAATGATAAAACATGCTCACTGACCAATCAGAATATGCGGCGCACGTGCTATATTAATCCAATCGGTAGTATGTTACTGGAGCGTGATGTGAAATCGACATCAAAACAAACTCGACACGCAATAAATAGAACTCTTTTGTTTCAAACTAATATCATAATTGAGTAGAACAATACAATCAACCTACCGTTTAAATCACAACTTAAACAAGACATCCACAACACATCAAATGTCAAAAACATCAAATAATACCTGTGAGTTGAGGCCTTTTCGTGGTCTTTCGGTCTAAATAAGCTGCAACATCCGTTCTTTGTCTTCTTGCAGCAATATCAAGAGCAGTTTGATGAAGAATGTTCATTGAATCAGCGTCTGCCCCATATTCACACAGCAACTGCACTACGCTAATATGGCCATTGAGCGAGGCGAACATCAAAGGAGTCCATCCAGTTATAGAGTCTTTATAATTTACATCTGTTCTTTTATCTAGCAATAGTTTTACTACATGCTCATGGCCATGATGACATGCATTAAGTAACGCTGTAAGACAATTATCAGACAAACACTGCCACTGGCAATCACTGCTAGCATCTATTAGTAAACCAACAACTTGTAAGTGGCCTGATCGTGCAGCGGAGTCCAAAGCTGTGGCGCCGAGATCGTTTTGAGCAAAAATATCGGCTTTGTATTGTATTAGTATTACTACAATCTTTACATGTCCATAACACGCAGCAGTCATTAGGGGAGTCCATCCATAAGAGTTCCTAGCATCAAAACTGGCCCCTCTGCTGAGTAACAATCGTACCATGTTGTCATGGCCGTTGGCCGCCGCTGTGTGAAGAGCACTCACTCCTTCATCATCGGTAGAGTCCACATGTACACCTCCATCTAATAGCTCTGATGCCATACAAACATTCCCCTGCTCTGCAGCGTGAAGCAACTTTCGTATTTGGTCCATAATGTAACTAAGAAATCCGACAAATCAATGTCACAGTAGTTCTCACTTGACGAAACTCGTGTCATGAGGAAATTCCTTCATTGCAAAACAATTCCAATTGCCGTAATTATAAACACGGTCGATCACGCTAGGCCATGGTAAGAGCTCCATCCAAATTAAAGTCACATCTCTACAGTTTAGATAACAGAGCTTGTTAGATGACCTATTTTTGTATGAAATTTCTTTAAACACAAACCATTTCGTTCAACAACTGTGGTTGCAAAGAATGTAATGACACGATCAAGATTTTCCGGAAGTGACGTCAAAGCTAATAGCACCTGCCMACCACCACAACGTCACCAAAGCGACTCTTGGCATAAAACATATACAGAACTTTTCCTTTCTTTATCAATATTACTATGGCCTATTTTATTGATAAATTTCCTTGAAACATAGTGGCGCTTGGATGTGGGAAACCAAGTTGATTACTGCTCATCTTCATCAATCATTCATTTTTGATGTTAAACTAAAATATTGTAGTTTCKTAGAGGTTTGGGTATTAGAAGTCATTTAAAAAAAACTTGTTTGTGTTTTATCGTGGATATAATTCCATGTTGATATAATAAAGGTAAATGTGTATTATTATGATGATAGATGCACACCAGAGACTGAGGAATTTGTGCTTTAATTGGCATGGTCTGAGGTAATTTGTTGAGAAATTCTATAATATATTATTTTGGAAAGTTCTGTTTACTTCACGTCACAGTACTACAATATGCCTCAAGTATTCTATCAAACAACCTCTGCATATTTGCTAATTATCCAAAGATCAAAAATACAAAAATATAACAAGACAGGTTTACCCGGCACAGCATTTACATAACATCTTCTCTCCAGCTAAATTATTTGTATTTACAAATGTATCACATCCTATTCTAAGTTAATGATCAGTAGACTGGCTTGGCTTGCTGAGTTGGTAGGATTCCAAATCTCTTCTTTAGTGTAATTCTGTGTCTTGAATATTTGTCGTCAGGAGAAAATCGAGCTTCAGAAAAGAGAAGAACACAAACGTTAGTATTTACAACATAAAAAGGGAAAAAAGAAAACAAATCAAAGCAAACAAAATGTAAAGAACTGCTAGCATGTGAGCCCCGGGGGGGTACTCCCCTATATTCGCTATACGGGGATGTGCCTCCAACCAGGGTATCGTTTTCAGCGATTTTACTCTGGAACAGGGTATCAATTTCACCAATTTTTCTCTGGAACAGGGTCAGCGTTTAATTCCGGAATTATAAATCACTACCAGATTGTGACTGCATTTCTGATTATACTAGTGAAAAATAGATCAAGTAATGTGTATTTGTAATAAATCATATTGACTTTGGTAATTGAGATTAAATTATAGTACAGATAAACCCAATGACAAAGGATAATTTTTTATTTGTGTAAGGATTGTCTTACATATGCAATGTATAGTTCCAGAAAATATCCGTACCATACAACGGGCAGCATTTTGGAAATCCAGAGGGGATAGGGGCAATGATTTTTGTGTGTTTTTTAAGCACTTCCACGAAGCAAGATGATGCATTGTTTTCGAATGATCAGTTTGACGATTGTGTTCTCAAAAACAGAGCTTGTTTTGGAGAGAATATGTATTCTCATTCATTTCCAAGTGGGCAAACTGATTTCCTAGGGGGGTAAAACACGGTTGTGGAACTCCTAAGGGGAGGGGCGATACCCAATTTTGGAATTTCCCTAAGGAGAGGGGTGGGGGGATCGAAAATGGATGCTGCCCGTCATATGGTACGGATATTAGGGAGCTTTAGATTTGAGAACAAAGTCGAGAATGAGGGCGAAGTTGATGAGCACACACAACTTTGATGTCGTCAGCTTGCTCGYGCACATTCAAAAGAAATTCCTAATTCGCTCTGAAAAACTAATTTGACATGGTTTAGTTTATGCCAATTTTAGCACAAATTAAGGATATTTCYRCACACTTATTGTTCAAAGTAAAACAAAGGATGTCCAAAGTCGATGTTCTTGCATTTTCTTCAGATTTTCAGTGCAAAATAATTGTCCAAGAAAAGCCAATAAAAACTTCGTTGTGGACAGAACGAAGTTTGGTAAAAACTTTGTCGTCCTCAGCCACAGGTAGCCCAAGCACTTGGCTATGACAGTGAAAAACGAAAAGTTCAATAAAAGTGGTAAAACTGAATAAAATTATTTCAAACTACAACATAGTGTTCTCCTTATTTTTCTCAACACCCCTGTGAAGTTTMAGCTCAATATGATAAACYTTCCCCTACTTATATATATTATGACAAGGTTGGAGACAAACCGACCAAAAACACAATCGACACGGCTTCAAATTCAAGCATTTATTTGCCAAAAAAAAACTTGMCGTTCAAGTTGACTGCCATCACACATTTGGTTATGCATAAATACATCTTAATTTTGATGTCTTAGAGGCCTACCTGCAAACGGACAATCAATGGTCAAGGGGCCTGGGTTGCCCGTTTGGCTTTCGTTTGCTGACCACAGTATGGAGCGTCGCGGCTTTTTCCCGATTTTTGGAGAGTCGATCTTCGTGTTTGAACGGCTTTAGTGCATAGTCAAGAACAGGTAGGCCTCTAAGACATCAAAATTAAGATGTATTTATGCATAACCAAATGTGTGATGGCAGTCAATTTGAACGGCAAGTGTTTTTTTGGCAAATAAATGCTTGAATTTGAAGCCGTGTCGATTGTGTTTTTGGTCGGTTTGTCTCCAACCTTGTCATAATATATATAAGTAGGGGAAAGTTTATCATATTGAGCTGAAACTTCACAGGGGTGTTGAGAAAAATAAGGAGAACACTATGTTGTAGTTTGAAATAATTTTATTTAGCCTGTGTACATCCGTTTCTCACCCCTCAAAAAATCGGGGAGAGAACGTCTGTGATTTGCCGTTGCTAATCGTGTTCCGAGGTCACGTAGAGTTCCTCAAGATTTTGAGGAAGAATTTGATTGGCTGTTGTATTTCAAGACTTGTGATTGGCCAAAATCAATAGATGGCGTGTAAAGTTGGTCACACGAAACATGTAGAATGCTTCAAATTGAATATGTTATTTGCTCTCAAATTCTCTGTAAAAGTTTAGGCTTTAATCTTATATTCGGTCAGGGTAAATTTCAAATTGATGTGGAATTATAATGTCATTAGAATTCGCCGCCAATCTTCACGAACAAAACTTGCATTTGTCAGAAGTGCTAAAGAAGATAAGGGGCCGGGCTTAGTAGTTTGTATTCTACATCTCATAATAGCCTGCGAAAGCGCCAGAGTTACAGCTTCAAAACTGCCGAGGACAACGTAATCTTCACAAGAAGATATTAGTATGGTTGATGGAAGTCATTGTATGACGCAACAGGAAAACCACATTCTGACGAGACACCTACTACCGAAGATAGAGAGAGCACGGCATAGACCAATGGGCAGAAACAATAATTTAAACCACGGTCGAAGTTAGAATTGAATGGCTGAAACAAAAACAAAATCTCTAGGCATTATGTTCGAATTATGTTGCGGAACGGTCCATTGTTTACTTGACCTTTTAACGTGCCTGCTCAAGCTCTAACCTGCATGTCACATTATATATGCAAATTTATGTCAGAACACGATTAGCAACGGCAAATCACAGACGTTCTCTCCCCGATTTTTTGAGGGGTGAGAAACGGATGTACACAGGCTAAATTTTATTCAGTTTTACCACTTTTATTGAACTTTTCGTTTTTCACTGTCAAGCCGAGTGCTTGGGCTACCTGTGCCTCAGCAAGGAGACAATGAAGTTGCGCGACATTTCATGTGCTGTTGTAATCTGCAACGGCAAATTTTCAAAACTTTGACATYGTCCTCGTCTTCGTTCTCAAATCTAAAGCTCCCTATTTTYTGGAACTACCCAATGCATGCATATATACATGCATTCCATATATAAGACGATGCTTACACAAAAAATGAATATTGTACAACCTGGATGAGCTGACACTGTTGGTTGTCCTTTGGGGTCAACTTTCTGCAAACAACAAAAACATCTAAATACATTTACATGGATAAAGAAATCCAAAATATATCATGGGCAATTTTGACTATAGAGTACAAACGTTAACCATGTATTAGCAAGGCTAATTTAAYACTGATTTTCACAATTTACTAGTATTTGATACTTTTAATTATTTTTTGAACTCTATAGGGCTTATAGAATGAGCTAGCCCAATAATATTTAGTGGTTTAACCATGGAAATCTACGGAAAATCCATGGAAACTGAAGGCCTGAAGCTTTAGTATTAAATGTCAATATAAACTGTAAGCAGAAAGTTATAATGTTGAAAATCGGCGCAACAGACACTCATACTTATCTAAAATACGAGAAAAACACTGAAACAAACATAGTTTATCCACGAGGATCAGAGATAAAGCCATTTGCTTTCTGGACCTTATGTTRAACGTTAAAAAACTAGGCTTCAATCAGCGCTTTGAACTACGACTAACAAAGTTAACTAACATTAACTTCAAATTTACCTGAAGTGTATAAACGCGATTTCCCTGGCCGTCTAGATAGAACATCAAATGCATTTTGAAGCTTTTTGTTGCTCTGTAGCAAGGAGCAAACCCAAATGTATCGACAACACGTGGACACCAAACCGAGACTGAACAACTAAACCGTGTGGAAGACTGAAAACGAAGGACTATAATACCGGGTTTATTATTGGTGAATGTAACAATAGTTTAYATGAGCGCCCGGTTAGCTCAGTCGGTAGAGCATCAGACTTTTAATCTGAGGGTCATGGGTTCAAGTCCCATATCGGGCGATCAACTCTTTTTGTTTGTTTTTTTCATGTGTCGTATTTTCTTAATTGCAATTTTTCCTTTGTGTATTTTATTTCTTCAATTATTTTTTAAAAGTTTCTATACCATAACTTGACGCTCTAAGAGCGCTTACGCAGTGCCTTTTAATGAATAAATGTAATTCACAACTTCAGGAATTTGTTCCAACAACGACTTTGTTTTCAAGGACCATAGCCAACTTTTAACATTATCTATTATCAGATGGTGATTTCATTAAATAAAAAGAAACATCTAAATTTATTGAGGACTAAGAAAGAGCTTGTGAACATGGCTAGCCAACTCAGTTGGTGGGAATTCTCGTCATTATCACCCTAAGCGGGACCAAAATACCGATTTCAAACCCTAAAAGGGACGCTGAGGACCCCCGCCCTTTGATGTTAGGGAGTCCTCCCTCCAAGAGCTGGCCCTTTTAAGGGGCCTGGGGAGGAAAGAACCCTTTTTCTTTCCTCTCCTCCCCAGGCCCTTTAAAAGGGCCAGCTACACAGGCTAGAACATGGCTGCATAAATGCAGTAAAGTGCTGTGTCAAAAAAATAGATCAAGTGTTTTGTTGATTCGATTACATTTATTAATAACATTCCACATCTACCCCATACAACATTGAATTAAAATGACTTAAGTTGACCCATATTGATTTAGAATTTCTGAAGCACACGTCTCTCCAATTGCTGATAAACATGATAAATTATCAAATAGGAATACRACACTAACAGCATGATACATGCACATTTTAAAATTATAGCACTCATTATTTGTATTGAGGGATAGACTAGTGATTTCAGTTTGGTGACTACCACGTCTGGGGTCATCTCTTTGTAACACCTCCTTTTCATTATCAAACTATCCACCAGCCCTCTCCATCCTTATGATATAATGAGCTGTCCCTTCATTTACAAAATGTTCAGTTTTTGGGAAYATTTTTACACCACATACATACATATTATTACAAATAAGAATGATTTTACATGTTTTTACTGCGTATAGTGCTACTACAGACAATTTTAAAAACTGCATAAAGAATTGCATGCATAAATGTATACAAAACCTTTCAAATCTAAATTTGAAGGATTCAAACCTCTGACTTTATATCAAATACCACTTCACAAACTACATGGAAAGTARAGTTAATTATTTATGACAGAATTGCATGTACAAAATGTTTATGCTCTGAATGTCAAATACTCATCAAASTACCATTAAGTTTGCACATAAGGATATTAAGTTACAAGCAAACTGGTATTATTCATATATGGAGAAGAATTTGAAACAAGACACTTACCATCTTGCTTACAACTTATCAGTTAGATGCCTATTAGTTACTAACTATCTAAMTTCTGTGCTATCACTTGTTTGTAGCTAAAATAATATGAGCGAACACACTTTGAGAAAAAAGATTAAAGTAAAAAACAGGAGATAAATCATGATGACCCCTTTATTTTCTATTGCCTAGTTAACACTATTTAGCATTAATTAATAATATTTGTTTGAAGGATTTAGAGTGCACATGTACTAAACTTTATGTGCTTCAATAATATTACATGATGTACCCTCCATGTAGAAGCCTGAATTAAAATGATAAATTGCTCTGGATAACTTTTTACTTTGATTTTGTTATTACTAAAGCCACCAACATGATGATGACAACTACTGATAAAAATATAATACATAGCATCTTCCTTGAGCTTTTCTGATGTTGTTCTGCCTACAAAAAATTAAAACACAATCATATACAAATTACGCTTTGAAATTAGTTAAAATCCTACATAAAGTAAAAATGTGATTGTTAAAATCAGGTGTAAAACAGTATCAATATAAAAATCRTATCATATGCCAAAATGGTAATCAGATAGAAATGTTACCTTTTTRAGCTGTTCCAAACCTTGCTCAACTTTTACAGATGCTTGCTCAACATTATAATCTATTCTATCCAAAATGGTACCCTAAAATTCATCACAWCATGATTAGAATAATCAATTCGTAAGCTAGTGCAGGGAAAACAAAAACAGCAAGTGAGTACTTATCACCCAAATAAAACTGCACAACAAAATATTTATCTGTCAAATAATTAAGTTTATCAACATTGTAAAACAAAAACAAAATCTGTACCTGTTCTACTATCATTGTTGCTAAATCTCTAAATATCTCATTTAATTCTGATATGGATTGTACAATTGACTGGATTTCCTTTTCTCTCAGCTCAATTATAGCTGAGTTATCTTCTACTAATCGCATCTGGTCACTAGTGAATCCCTGGAAAATAATGGAATACCGGTAAATAATAATGATTATGTTTATGATAACAATACATTTTTTGGAGTGCTAACATGTAACACTTCTCAATGCTCAACTTCTTAAGTGTGAAACAAAAAAATTTAAGCAGTAGATATATCATACAGCAACAGATACAGGACAATCATTTCTGGTGCAYGCACTAACCCTATCATATAAGTCATCATCTTCTACAACATCTTCATTCATCAATGCACTGCTTGTAGAAGGCAAACCAGTGTCAAAAAACTGCCTCTCCCTCTCTTCTCTATTTTTTAATCCTAAAATACATTCACAAATTAAACAGGTAAAAATTGTTTAGTATAAATAATAAGTCAGATCTTACGTTTTAAGTATGAAGACTGGCTTTTCCTAAAATTTGTAGATAAGTCTTGTAGGCTGACTGCTAAAGATGATGTTACATTCTTGAGGATACGCTGTTCTTGCTTACTTGCTCCACGACTTTGCTTGCTCATACGCTGAATAGCATTTTGACATTGATGAAACATCTAAAATAATGATAAATAAAGTATTATGAATGTTTTGAATTCATTAAAATTACATTAACTTACAATTCATGAGTTTATCCCTAATCACTATACCTGAGTGATTTCTTTGGTTGTTATTTCAATGGTTTGTTCCTCATCTACACTGTCATCTAGGGTAGGTCTATTTAAATGTCTGTCATGAAGTGTTGATAAATCTGTCACTAAAAATTCAGTGTCCAAGACATCAGTACATTTTCTATCATAATCACTAGGAAAACCTATAAGAAACATAACTTACTTCGCTGTTTAATTCTTGTAATATCATATTGAATCTAGAATAAAACGAGATAYATCATTAAAACAAAAATAGTAAGAAGCTCAAACTGAGAATTTTCACATACCTCTTCAACAGAGTCAGTCCTGTAAAGTAAAGAATATATTAAAAACACAATGAAGACCCAAATAATTCTTGTGGATTGAGATTTTCATGAAGATGTAAGGTCAAGCTTATGTGAGTTGTCACACACAACTTGATGTATACATGTCATCACCAGGTCATGCTGAATGACCTTGAAGTTCAACAATGTTCATTTGTTTACAACTTTGTCATTAATGTCAAGCTCCACACAACAAGTCACATTGTCTAACTTTCCATTTTGGATAGGATCCTTTGGAGGATGATTATAAAATTGGATTTAATACCATATGCTATATCATTGATTCAGTGATGCATGATAAATGCAGCCACTAGTCCTGTGATGGGTCATCTAAGACCATTTAAAGATGATGGATACTGCTGAATAATCATCAGGGAACAATCGTACAAAGGTTGAATAGCCGTATCCTCAAAACGAATCCTTATCGAGCAGATAAAATCCATACAAAATCTAAGAAGTGGATAACTTCATATCGTGAATAACTTTGTTCACCCTTCACACAACCAGCCCCAGTAGGGTAAATGGTGGCATGTTTAAAAACATACAAAGACTGACACATTACTGGTCCATAATAACAATATGATTATTTCAATAATTATTAATCCATCTACATATAATGTAACCTTGTACTTAGTTGGTAGTAAAACAAAGTTTAAATATGATGAATGTACGTAATGATTATTCAACTGTGTGTACAACATGACTTATTTCGTAGCCGTTTAATCGCACTGATTTATAGTTATAGCAAATATGAAAGAGACTTAAGTCATAGATTGTCTCTATCTATGATCAAGACCCAAACTTTGCTTTTCAGTGGAATTATTTGTTAGCGGTTTTATTTTCTTACCACTGCGGTGGAAGTGTATTTATCGGTGTTTGGGTTCCACTCTCTGGGTCCACCTTTTGCACCAAGGCTACCGTATCATCATCCTGTGAATAAGGAGCATATAACTACACAGCATTAGTTACAAGCGTATTAATGCAGAAAGAGATGCTTGTCAAACTATATACCCCTTCACAACTCGTACGTACGGCTGAATCTCCCAATGAATATGCTTTGAAACGACTTATTTCTGTTCTTAAGTTAAAGTAAACATCAGTAAGGGTTCTTGTGGCCATTCTGGTGAAACAACAACTCTTCTCTATACGATATATTATCAAGAAACGACATTCCTAAAGTATGTATCCGCCATTTTGAAATCAATTCAGCTGCATGAACGGAGTAGACTGGGGACTATTTCCGGTCACTTACCGGAAATAACAATAACAAAAAGGTACTTACTAGGTTCCAAAAGTCACCATTTTTGTGYGACTTGCTGCCACGAAAGTAAGAAAACGTATCAAAATGTGACCGTCGTGTAACTTTGATTCCATCTTCTTGCTTTTCTGTATTCTCCACGAATGACCATCTTGCCTKAGTACCAATTGTGGAAAAACCACGATTCATGATAGTTTTCTATCTCAGTTGCAAAGAACGAACGCTTTGACAATTGCAAAAGATATTAAAATTTTAGAATTTAGATACTTAAACTTCAAATACGAAGAAAACATTTGAAAACCTTCATTCAGTGGACAACTGTATCTTATAGGTCAGGTGCCAGCGTAAMCATACACTCATGGAATAATTCTGAGCTTAGGAATAAACGTTAGTRTTATACGTTAACTCATTTTTTGGTAGTAACATTTTTCTGGCGCCATTCAGTAAAACTGAAACTGATGGACATGCGCTAAAGACCTGCCTTYTTACCTGACAACACCTGTAAATGTTGCTATAGTCACTGTAGTTGACATCCCTCACTCCCATATATACCATTACGAACATAACATTTCTATTTTTCGAAATTCTACCTTTTTCCCTTATCAACATTTGGTAATAATAATATTATTATAAAACATTGATGCGCAAGGAGAACAAATAAATGTGCTCAAGCAGTTCTCCTAGTGATGGTCAATTTAATTTCGACTTTAGTAGTTGTTTTAGAAAATATGACAGCCTTGTGTCGACAAGAAAAGAAAGGGAAGTAAGAGAAGAAAAGAAGAAGCTCCCAGCCTTTCGCGATTGTTGGAGGCAAGAGTCCCAAGAACCTTTGCGACTACCTTGTTGCAATGACGTCATTTTATTTATTGTCAATTTTTGCAAAGCGATAACGAATTACCGCCATTTTGGAATATTTGCCAAAGAAAAATTGTCGTATTATTACGACAACTAAGAAAGAATTAAGAAAGAAGAAAAATAATAGAAAGCTATCTTCTATTGGCTGACTTCTTAAACGTCGAAAGTGCTCATAAAATCAAGTTGGCTCCGTTTGTTGTAGCTTGATCTTGATGAATTCGTTTGAAGTCTTCGTTGTGTTATTTGGAGTCACCTTTGGTCGAAAACCGAGACATCACTGGCCTAGTAGTATATCATATCGATTAGACTGYTGTTAAACGTCAATCAGGAGTTGCAAAGTACATTTAATAACACTTTGCTGCSCTAGAAACAGGTCCGAAGATAAAACTTTCTGTTATTTAGACTTCTGTTTCAACTCCCCGCGTCGTTTGATTTCTGACAATCAACATGAAACTTCTGGAAAACGCTCGTTTGGATACTGTTAGTGCGGCTGTCTCCACGAATACTGGTGACATAGTAATCGAAGGAAGGTAAAATGTAATGCATATTTCAATATGAAATTATGATAGCAAAAATGACAGTTAAGTTATTTCCATGAAAATGAAGTAGTCTCGTCATAGYAACATTGATTCACTTTTTTCCTTAGGATTGAGAGCTATTCTTGCAAAATGGCTGGAAATGATAAAAAATTATACAAGACACTAAATGAGGGCAATGCACCAAGCGATCTACAAGCTCTCTCACCACCACAGTCTGCACAGCCAGTGGGTTCTTCTCCAACAAACCCATTTCATTTTGCATCCAGGAAAAGGACCATCAGCACCACAAGCCAGGAAGAGGGAGGGACACTGTGTGATACTATTAGTAGGAAGACACTGTTTCATCTCATCTCAACATTGAATGCATCATTTCAACCTGACTATGACTTCAGCAATGCCAAGTCTCATGAGTTTAGCCGTGAACCAAGTCTGCAAGTTGTGATGGACACAATCAATGCTAATCTAGCAGCCAATATGGGAGACTCCTTCATGGGCTTAAAAACTGCATTATGGTCTGCTATGGACGATGAAATACAGCTGAATGACTGTGATATCTACAGGTGGGTCAACAACTGATGTAGTGCCAGGTAGCAATTAGTGTAACATTACCTATATCTCTATTCACTACAATGGAGTTTTGTAAAACATTACATTATTTTTTCTTAGTTACAACCCTGATTTGGACTCTGATCCATATGGAGAGGAAGGCAGTTTATGGTCATTCAATTACTTCTTTTACAACAAGAAAATGAAAAGGATCATCTTCTTTACTTGTAAAGCATCAAGGTATGTATTAACTAGGCAAGTGCTACATCACATCCCAGTAGATATTATTTCTTGATTATTTTGTCTTAGTCCAAGTATCCTGACAATGTCAGATGAAGATGACGAACAATTTGAGATGGATTTTACAGACACTACCATGGATGATGTGTCTAGGTATGACAAGTCATCATTATCCATCTGTAAAATGAAAGAGTCTCCTGYACTATTTGTTTTCATGGTAAAGTGATATCATGGCARTACTGCGCAAATACTATGACATTTTCTTGCACATAATTGAAGGTTATGTGGGGTAATTTGTGCGACCTCCTAGTGGTACTCCACGGACAACAGGACTAGCAGAGAACTCTATAGGCTATACCATCTGGAGACTAGAATCTGACATGAACATACCTGCATATCAGCATTAGTCAGTATGATGAAAAATACATCAATGATAGAGTGATGACAATCATACATACATAAACATCTAGTTCTCCTGGTAGGTTCAACCATGGTGGGAAGGCTATGGAGGGAGCTAGAACTGGCTAACAGCACAATATTCACAGTGTTACTAGAAAAGCATATTTGGCTAATTGTTATTATATTAATTGCCCATAGTAATTCTCTATTTATGTTATAGGAACCCAATGGTTATGTCTCCTTAGGTAAAAGTGTGAATCAAGAAGTAGCTTACAGACTGTGTAAAAGATAATTTATCATTTTAGTGCTAGTTTAACTATTGCTTTCTAAGGTATTCTAAAAGAATAACAYAATCACATTTTAGGAGTTATTTTATTTTGATAGCAATGAAGTTGAGCCATTGTACTCAAAGTTTTTAAAATTGTTTATAGTAAAGGATATTGATTTTCTATATTTTAATCCATTTTTAGCATCCTTGCATTGTTTCTTCATGAAATATTTCAAATGTAAATAAAAAATAAATAAATATTACCCTTAGTCATTGTAAAATGCAGTACTGACTTTAAATTGGYTGACACTGCACTCAAACTGGAACTATGAAGCCATTGTATTAAAGAACAGACAGTGAAATAGTTTGCCAATACAATTTCTGTTCTCAATATTACATAAAACACTGTCTGGACGTTATATACAACTAATAAAATATAAAAATGAAGGCTTTGCATAAATATATTGTTTTACAACACACTTTGCCATCCTTTTACTCTAACAAGGCTTAAAAATGATTATGATGTTTCCTCATTCATATCCTCTTGCACTGGTAAAGTCTACTACTTGTGGACTACCTGTGTCGGAAATATTGCGTGAGACTGAGTTATCACAAGCAACGCCTGCTGAAAATTTGCTTTGCTACGATCCTCGATTCAAAAACCATGGGATTGAAAATTATGTAGAACTCAATGGAATCAAATGATAACATTTAAGTGATGTCCAAAGTCAGTCCTGCAAYTAGCATACCCAGCGACAAATTGCCTCCAGAATGGGAGATGAGAACTGACCTTAATGGTCGTGTGTATTTTGCAAAGTACTAACAAGTTATACTTTAAATGGAATTTCTTGTAAATCTCTTTAGTTTGTTTGCCTGTTTGTTTTTGATATGTATTACTGTGCTACTGAATATCTATACTGCTAGTGATACGGCTGATTCATTACACTATCTATATATTTCATTGTTCACTTTTTGGTGTTTTTAATATATACTAAAATGGTGTATGGTGCACACTTTATTTACCTGAAATGCTTTGTGACTTCAGTCATGCGCTAAAGACAACACAATGGCAACATCCAATCACAGGCAAAAAGATAGTTACTAAAGGTAGTTAATTCATGCTATGTTCCTAAAAGTTGATATACATCTTAAGCAATTAAGTTGTTTCTCATTTCACCAGAACGGCAAGACAGACAAGAATCCAAGAATCTTCAGTATGTACATACAGACAGGCCTACAATCATTTATTTCCAAATAGTTTCTCATTTCAACCCAGTTRCACTACAAGCATTCTGGGTAGGCTAGGCTAGTCACTCTWAWWAAAAAAACTCAATATTTGACTTACAGCAAACCATTTGTACATATGTTCCCTTCATCATTTACTGCTATGGACGTACTGCAGGGAAAAAATCTGTCAGGACATGTTTTTATAGTCACTGGAGGAAACAGTGGAATAGGTATTGAAACAGATTTTAAACATACTTTCATGTCACTGTTAATCAGTATAGTAATCCATTTGAATTATATTTCTAGGATATAGCACTGCTGAGTCACTGGCCACTCATGGCGGTCATGTCATCATTGCTTGTAGAAATATGAACAAAGCACAACAAGCAGTGGCAGCAATCAAGAAAGAATGCAGGGAAAGAGTTAGTMAATAATTGACAGCATGTACTATTCAAATTATTATTTGCAGCATTTTATTTGAAAAATCAATTTTCTGGAATCTATTTTTTAGGGTCTGGTCAGGATAAATTAGGATAAATTAGGGTCTGGTCAGGATGGGATTGGAGTCTGGTCACTATAATTGTTATAAACAAACTTTTTTTCAGGATGTTTGTGCCAATATTGAAGCAATGTTCTTGGATTTGGCATCATTCAAAAGTGTAAAATCTTTTGCAGAGAATTTTAAAAGCAAAAACATGTAAGTTTCAAATATTGTTGTGCTTTTAACAATAATTTTGGGTTTATCAATCATCACATCGATATGTTCCAGGTTTTTTGATGCATTATGTCTGAACATTTTATCTGAATTTTGTTTTAGACCTCTTCATGTTTTGATATGCAATGCCGCTGTGTTGGGATGTCCCTGGCAGATAACAGAAGATAACATTGAATACACATTTGCAGTAAATTACTTGGGACATTTTCTGTTAATTGATCAACTGAAAGACATTTTGATATTATCTTCCCCATCAAGGATTATTATGGTTTCCTCTGAGTCCCATAGGTATACTTTGTATAGTCATCTACAATTTGAATTGTGAATTACTTTATTTTTTATTTATCTATTACTATTTTGTTATTTGAAGCCTCATTTTGGTTTAACTGTTCTTTAACTGTTCCCTGCACCATCTTGAAAGACAACCATTGGGCATGCAATGATAGGTGAATAAAATAAGTTTTAGGTGTGACAGAGGGTTTCTATCATTGCCTATTTAAAGGTTATCATGCTAAAGGCACAGTTAACTTTCAAGATGGCACAACGGAAAACRTGAAGGGGACAATTGGTGTAAAATTGGCTGTACATTGGTAATTATATTATTTTAGGTTTGTTGATTTGGGGTACTCCAGCAGGCTTGATTTATCATTAGTACCACTTCCAAAGGACAAGTATTGGTCTATACTCGCATATAATCAGTCAAAATTATGCTGTTTAATGCTCTCCATGGAATTAAATCATCGTTTAAAAACACATGGTGTTACTAGTTATGCKGTTCATCCAGGAAATCTGATTTATACATCACTATGTGCAAGTACAAGCCTGTACTGGTTGCTGTTTTTCCTGGCCAAACCATTCAGTAAAACACCAGTAAGTACTGGACAGTTAGAGGAATAATTGCTTATSAAAAATATTTTATGCACACATTGATGTATTTTCAATATTTTTCAGAGCCAAGCAGCAGCAACACTAGTCTATTGTGCCACAGCTCTGGAACTTCAAGGAGTTGGGGATCTGTATTTCAATGGTTCTAGTGAATGTGACCCATCCCCTGAAGCAACAGATAAAACTAAGGCTAAAGAACTATGGAGGAAGAGTATGGATTTGATACATGGAAACAATGACACTTTTAATGAYATTCTTCACGTCTAATAGAGTACATAGAGTGCAAGCCATGAAACATTATTTTTAAGCACAAACTACTTTATGTATCACCTGATTTAGAAAGGCTTATTGCATAGCAAGGTGACAATTTGCCTACGGACAATACTACTGCAACACCTTTGCTCTGTATGGTTTAATGATATCGTCATTTCAACTGGCTCAAGGCAAGAGGTGATCTTAGACTTGTTGGACTTATAATCAGCTTTCTTCAACACTTGATCGTACACTACATCTAGAACATGTTATAGTTTATCTACCTGAATGTTCTCAGTCAGTGGTGGTTGTTAAAAAGTCACTTTCAACAGGCAAGCATCTAGCATTAATTTGGAATGCCTCAAGGCTCTGTCCTTGAGCCACTGCTCTACTTTGCCAAGAACCACAACTTGAGATGTATGGTTCCTAATGAAATTACAATATTATAATTATACTTACTTTGACAAATATTAATAATATTTAATCTAAAGACTAATAACTTAAATTTACACAAAATTATTATAATTTATAACAAAATTAAAACCTATTGCAACAAATAATGTCAAAGAAATAAGCACTGATTAGTTTGCGCTTTTAGTAGGTTACTTACTAAAAGTAAGTCCTTTAAAATATTCTACACAAGTAGATCATCATTTCAGCAATAATATACATGTGCAATATTACATTCATATTTACATCAGAATTTCTATATGTCTACAATGCATCATACTTAACTATATACTGCTTACCTTTATTCATAATTCATTACATTTCTTTATTTTATTTTTAATAACTATTATACTGTTAACAATATGATATCAACAATACGATATATGGTAAAAAAATGCCCTCATATTCATCACACTAACTATACGTTTTCTCACTAACTTTACATTTGAACTCAAATTCACTTTCTAATAAATCTTTATTTTGGTCCAGTAGATCTTGCAGCGATGAATCTAGTTTGTTAGCAGAGAYCATTTCAACAATCTCATTATGACTGAACTTGCTATACTCTCCTCCCATCTTACAAACAAGGAACCAAACTTCTTTGCTTTTTTGTTTTTCCTCCATAGTCAATGATATTTTGCCAACATCTCCAGGAGCTGCTGTTTCTKTTGTATACACAGTAATAAACCTCTAAAAAAATATGGAATGTCACAAATGCAAATTTTGACTTTAAGATGATCAAAAAGTAATTCTTACTCCCCATAGGAGTATCTTGCATATRCAAGAATAAAAGATCTGGCTAAGTAATATACATGGGAGTATTATTTTCCATTTAATTTGGGCCAATCTCAGCATCTTGAATTCTTAACATTTCATTGATGTTGAGTCTCAAGGCTGATATAAGCATGATTTGCCAGGGGCGCCGGAACGTTTTTGGTCCTGGGGGGGCTAAGAAGATTAATTGATATTGTGGTCAAGAAATCTTTTTATATTAAACAAGCTTTATTTTACAGTAAATATAACTCTTAATGAATTACATTATAGGAAAATATGAAGAGCTTTTATCATAAAACAAAACCAAAGACGTTATACATAACACCTATCAAATACTGTGCACAATCTAGAATAATCTGCGAAATCCAATTTTTTATGTGCGCTTATGCTGATACGCATATAGTATAACTGCTGACAACATCTATCTCAAGATAAAATCTCAAGATAGGCAAATTGTTTCATAAAGCTGATATAACGTTACATTTACACGTGAAAACTAGAACGATAATATATACCCTTTGTTAATGTCTCAAAATGTTTTTTTGAGAACAGTTATAATTTAAACTTTACGTGAATCGTTTTCATTTTATCATAAAATGTTTATAATTTTCGAAAATGCTGGGGGGGGGCTACAGCCCCCCCAGCCCCCCCGGTTCCGGCGCCCCTGCTAAATAGCACTATTTAGTTTGTACAGTTGAACAGATTAAGTGCGATCACTCTAGTGTTTTATCTTTTATAAATAAAAATATTTTCCGACTGAATGTAATTGATTGACTAACCCTTCGTATCGAACAAACTAATTTACTATTTTGTATTTTAATCACCAGACGCCATTGTTAAGGGATCTAGTATTCGCGGACGAGGATATGTCTATGTCTCAAAAAGAATTCAAAATTCTACTATGATTACAAGACGAACTGTGTGGGTGAGCATTTTGCCTTATTCAGACATTGCTAAAATCGCAAAAGTTGCATGCAAAATGGCGGGCTACAAAGGACCTTCCTCTCCTTCAATGGCTGGTTACTACGTGCTGAATAGGTGGAGATGGATGAATCGCAATGATCAAAGTAATCTAAATATTGGGTATTGTACAGGAAACGAAGCTTCATTGCTACAATGTCAGAGCACAGGATATCAACGTTATCCATTGCTGGTGAATTGTTTACCACTGGGTAAGTTTGAGTGTTGTAAATGCCTTATCACGAGGACAGGGAGAAGGGGTGTATAATGGTGCACGGTAGTTGTTGGGAGTGGGGAGGCTTGGGTCAATTCTTTAACCTAAACATAGGCTTGGAATTCAAGCTTTTTTTATATTTTGACGCATATATCTTCTTTTCATATTCAAAAGCAAAATCTGACTTTTTTTTTACGTGGAACCTTTTAAGAAATATCACGGAAATCAGTAACACTTCACAACGATGTAGGTTTAAACATTTACAGTAAAAATCAAAAAAATATTTAAATGAGGGTCTTGATAATGTAGTCAACCGTCAAATCGCTTTTTTTAACCGTCAATCGTCAAAAAAGTAACCGCCATCAAGACCGTTGGCATGAAAATATATTTTCCCCTGATGTGAGCATTATACTGTAATCTTCTCCCACCTAGCTTTAGCTGTGCAACTAATGCTTTCAGCCTTTTATTATCTATATGTATAACATAAGTTAGTAAAAAATGTCACATTAGGGTCGTATGATGTTAAAATAGCCAAAATTAAATCATGCTATATTTTAAAAATCAAAAAATTACTTNTAATGTCTCAAAATGTTTTTTTGAGAACAGTTATAATTTAAACTTTACGTGAATCGTTTTCATTTTATCATAAAATGTTTATAATTTTCGAAAATGCTGGGGGGCTACAGCCCCCACAGCCCCCCCGGTTCCGGCGCCCCTGTTTGCATGTTAGATGTTATTGGTCATTCTCTTTCACTGGTATTTTTTTGTATTATGAGATAAGTCTTATTCTTGGACATCTCACAGCCTTGATCTTGAATAGTCTTCTTCACAGTTCCCTGCGTCATCTTGAAAGGTAGCCGTGCCTTTGCTTCGAAGTGAGACGACCATTGAGCGTGCATTGATAGAAACCTTCTTTCACACCTACAGACAATTATTGACTGGCATCTATCATTGCATGCTCAACGGTTGTCTCACTTCGATGCAAATAAGGAACGGCTACCTTTCAAGATGGCGCACTTTACCGTGAAGGAGACTAATAATAATAATAATAATAATAATATAATAATAATAAAAACACCAATCTCTTTMGACACCTCTTCCAGATCACTAATTTAATATATAGCACATATGAAAAAAGACTTACCGCGTCTCCAAAGCCTTGACTTGAAGTCCCCAAGCAAAAATCATCAGCCATTTGATGAATTTCTTTTCTGTGGTCTTTGGTCATAGAGGGTGGGAACTCAAGGACAGCATGAGAATCGGTTCTACATGCATTTCGAAACCACTGTACACATAAAAGGGTATGTTAAGGTCAGGTTAAATATGCTTTTTATCTATTTACTCCATGGGGAATTGCATTTTGCCTGGCATTGATATATAAGTAAAATGGTGGGAGGGAGGGTAATTGCACTGCAATGTATGTATGTATGTAAGACATTTGGTCAGCAGTACGGTCAAAGTTTTCCTCCCGGAAATGACAACTAAATGTTTGCAACRTAATGAAAGCGTTTAAGAATCAATTCCAGTTGAGTAAAGAAATTAATTTGGAGCCAAACCTTAACCTATRAATATCAACTTATCATGTTGACCTATTATGGCTTTAAAGCTCTGGGATGATATTATCAAATTTGTTTTTTAACACTAAATCTKCGATTCTTACGTACTCTCATCAGTGTTCTTAGCTTGGTGTGCTGAAAGACAACTTTGAATTTATAGCTATGTASTTCTGAGCTCTCTGATTTGACGTGTTCCAGTAAAGCAGCCGGYAAGTCTGCTTCTTCGTAACATTTGGATGTCTTGAATGTTACYATAAACTCTTCATTCCCGAAACGGTGTTGGAAGGTAGGTTTACTGCCTGCGTGACGCTGATAATAAGGTTTTTGTATTCGTTGGTTTCCTGGAATTTGTGGTCCGCCACAAGGCGTATTTGTTAATAGTGTTGGTTGATGTTCATGATGGAATGAGGAATTTTCAGGCCTTCGATGTGGCGGGACATAACGCTTTTGCTGATCTGACATTATAAAAAAACAACAACAAAATACGATCTTTGATTCCCAAGAAATCTGACTAGTAAACAACGAGTTCAATTAGCTGGAGCACAGGAATCCCATGACAATAGTRATGACAAGGATTACTCGGGCTTCCAACATCTTTCAAAAGAAAAATCAATATTTTAGGGTACAAAGAATTTACTGAAACATTAGGAATAATAACAACTTAATACTTGAAGGTTAAGAGCAGCTACACTTATAACATGCTGATTACTCCGTGATTYTGTAAACGCAACATAATTTACACATCGCTGAACATGTACAATTCATGGTCCCCCATGATAATATAATGACTAATATAAAATGGCTAGAAACTCTAAAGACTAAAACAAGTACATACACACCACGAGGGAATAACTGATTGTTTTTGCACTAAAGACACAATAGTTTGCATATTTCCATAAGTTCTTAAAGCAAACATTCACAAAATGCAAYGAGAGCATGACCCTTCCAATCAACTTAAGTGCAGCATTTCCAKTTTAAAAATGTTTGGCTCACTGGGTCTTTTCAGCATTTTGTWAACTAAAAAATCCAATTTGGTTTCATTCATGCTGCACAGGGTGTTTTGATATTCTTCTCTTTAATGGTTCCATGTAAATACATGGTAAGTAGCTCAACTGATGCACGTTTTGTATATAACACGACACAAAAATAATTTCTTTGTGTATGATATTATTATTGTAATATTGTATTGTATTATTATTATTAAGCAAGACCAATACAAGCAAAGAGTCCTTGGATTTTATTTGATATTTACAGATTGGATTATTACATTAGTACCTATAGCACAAGCAACAATAAATTGCACAACAATGAGGAGGCAGGTAGGCTGTCCCATGATTACAACACATAGACCCCTCAAACAAGTAATGTACATACTAATATTAGAATAAAACCATTACATAGGATAGCATCTCAACTGTACAAGCATGAACTGTCCATTGCACAGTGATTACCAATAATCCTAGCTCCATTACATTTACCAATAATGTTATATTTCAAGTTGACGGCGTTTTCATGACATAATCACTTAGTGACGTAATTGGATCTGATGAAGTAGGAGGAGTTGATAGTCGTGATGTTACAGGGCTGTTTGATCGGCTGTTATCTTTAGGTGAGCTAGAAATTGAATGTGCTGTTGTTGAGTTAGTTTCATTGTTGGCGTTAGCAGCAGCCTGTTGGCCACAAACATGATGGTGATTTTCCCAGTCTTTATGTTGACAAAATGAACCACAATAACGAGCCACATTACAGCCACTACAAGTTTCTGTAGCCTTTCGTCCACAATTCCAACAGCTCTGCAAAAGAAATTCTTAMGATTAGTTTATTCTGCAATAACTGTCAAGACATTTAGAAGTGCCTTTCTTTAATGTTGTCACTGAAGAACACTCACCTCATTTGAATCAGTCTGTACATTATTATTTGCCATGGTTTCTTCTGTTGCAGCTCGTCGWGCTTCTAACACTGCCTTCTCCATCTTCACATGGGCTCCAGCTACAGCTTCATTGGCCTTCTCTTCAGCAGCTCGTACAGCYTTTTGCAGCTCAATGACAGCTTGTCGTTTCACATCACTCACAGCTTCTTCTGCCCTTCGTTTTACTTCAGAAACTCGTTCTTCCGTTTGCTTGATAGTTTTAGCCATTAATTCACCTGTACAAGACACCAAACTGTCAGTTGACATCATACATATSAGTGTCAAGATAAGTTCCTATTTTGAGAAAAATACAAATCTTACTGCTCAGTCTCACCCAGTCTATGCAACCAGACAGAAAGGTTTTTTCTTGGAGACAAATTTCTTCAATGATCATACAGTCATATTAATTTGATCTATACTCCCTTTTGGTTTAGTCATGTACAAGGGAGCCTGACCAGCACCTATAATCAATCAAGATCTTATGCTAGAAACCAACCTGTTCTACGTTTAACTTCCATTTCAGTCTCTTCAGCAGTTTTTCGAGCCCAAGTCAGCAGCTCTTCTCGATCTTGCTGACATCTTTGTTGTAACACCGAAACTGCTCGTTTTGTTTTATCCACCATACCAATGATGCATTGCAGCATCTATCAAATCACAACAACAGTTAGATAGAGCACAACTAGATGTCATTATCACCATCATCATCTTTATTATCACCATCAAGACATTTAGATCAGAAATTAAGTTMATCTTGATAACACTTATGATGATAATCAAAGACTCACTGTGTCAACATGTCTCCAGTCATCCATCATGGCATCGTGTTTACCATCCAACATACTGACACTTTCTGATAATGAAGGTTCTCCTTCTCTTGAGCTCCCAGCTAGAAAAAAAGGACATAATCCTGAGACATGAGAGATATTCTTTATCATGATTACACGCTATGTAATGGTTTTACTTTAAAACCCTGTGTGAAGAACTGAAAAACGTATCATGATAGAGATTAATTACCTAAAGGCATTGTAAGGTCTTCCATTCGTAGCTGACCAGGTTTATGAAGATTTGTATTGTTACTAAGACAAGGTCGTTTAGGAGATGGTTTCCCAATGTCAGACATCATCTGAAAAAGACATCACTTGCTAATAAGATTTCAACACAAGTACAGTTTAATGCTGTGTTAATCCACTACAAGGTTTACTTACCATTGATAACTCAGGAACTCCATTTTCTTTTGGTCGATTATGCAGATCTTGTGATCTGTTTTAAAAGAGCATCTCATTGTTTAGAGATTATATTTAAAAATAATATAATTTGGCAAAATGATATAATAAACATCACAATACATTAATAATGACAATGATATCAGGATTGTACTAGTGATTATGAAATAATGGCTTAATATTACTGACCTTATTCCATCACCAGGAGCTTTTCGTTTGTTACTTTCAGTTACTTCTAATGGGGCTAGTTCATCATTATCTAAAGGGGCTCCATCACGTTCATGTAATATCTGTTCATGTTGATGTAAATATTGCTGGGGTGTTTGCTTGGCCATTTGTGCGCATTGCAACAACTCACGTTGGAGGAGTGGAAGATTAGCCTGAAGCAGAACAATTAATGACATAAACATAGAGATATGACATACCTACAGGAGAAGATGGGAATTGCATGGTACTTTTACTGTAGCATGTTCTTAACTCAAATCCATAGTTATTCAAGAGACTTTATGATTCTTTGTAATAGATTATACAGGTGTAACAATAGTATTACCACAATACCTTGAGAAAGGGTATCACAAATGGTCGTAATGGGAAATTAGTTGCTTCTTGAAGCTGTGTGTGAAACTCCTCTATGGATATGGTAGAGTTCTGTATAAGAAAAGATAAACCATGAGATACTTTGTAAGTTGTACTTCAGTTATATCTTAAAATGACATTAATTTATACATGTTTATGTTCTATATTGCATAAAAAATGCAGTTATTGAAAAAGAAACATCATCAAAAATGTTTTGAATGGTTTGGATGTTATTAAGAACATCACCTCCAGTCGACAAACAAGGTTAATGTTTAAGTATGCTTGGACAAGCGCTATTTTTATTTTGTTTGGGTTTAAAATCCCTCTCAAAAGCATACAATGATATGTTAAGTAAAAATATGGTATACAAGAATATTATCAAGATACGAAAGAAATAATAATGTACTGCTCATGCTTATTCACTGATAAATAATAGGTTTGCTAAATAATACAATATACAGCTGTATTACATACCACTAGATTCATCACCAGTCCTCTCACCCGCTCACCAATCTCTGGTGATATATCAGAACCAAACTGCATCAGGGTTGTAAGGAAGCGTTTTAATTTGCTTAACTGCCTTGCACCACATGCTGGTGGTAGTTGATTGACAGAATTACCAATGCCAGTTGGTGATATTGGCCCTGTGGGGCTATTATGCACACCATTTACCACTGGTGGTGTTGTATTAGACAATGATCTCACATCTGCAACTATTGGGGCTGATGAATTGGAGTTTGGTGAAGAAACTGTTGGACCATTTTGTGGATGGGCTGCAGTATCAGTTGGGGAATCTGGCATGTTTGCCTCTCTGAGATCTAAACAAACAAATGTAATATGTAACAGTAATAATAAAGAGAATGTTATGAATTTTCTATCACAAACTCCAAACTTAACATGTCCAACAGTTTCAGAATAAATGTAACTCATTTAGAAGACAGTGAACCTTCTATGTCACTTTTAAACCTGTCATACATTTTATTAATAGCAAATCATGCAATGAGCAAAAGAATCTACTTCTTCTAATTATTTGTGATTTTTTTGTGACAAGATAGAGAATAGATTTTTGAATGGTTTTCTATAGATTGTCTACATAATGTTCCTTTTGTATAAATGCATCACTTGTTCTTCTTAAATGATTTGTAGATCATATCAGAATTGTGATGTAATCTCTTGGGACATCACACACTGCAAATCAATATTAATGTATTCAATGTTATATAGTGCTGTTATTAAATGGGCCAATGCATTCCCTATCATGAATAAAATTACACTTGAACCTTCCAATTTATTTCAAGAATATTAGTAAAATCTTAGTGACCAAACACACTTTGAAATTACAGCCTTGCACTTAACTTTTAGTTGATGGACTTAGATAGGAAGGGAAATAATTTGGGAAAGAGTAATACACGTTCACTAACAGCTTGGATACGGCTCGTTAAACTAACCATCGCCCCAAATCTGCTCAACAAAATCATTCATTTAACTATTTCGGTAATTTTCCTTGAGATTCCAGCAGCCTGACATACTGTCGCATAGGTGTAGAAACAGCATGACGTGAAAGCCCGGTTCGACTTGATTGTTTTACACAAATCTACGATGTAATTTGAAATTCATAGTCGAGCACAACAATATCGTCACATCTTTACCAAATAGAACAAAAAATCATGATTTTTTTTCTTCTGTGGGTTAACCAACAAGAGCATTAAAACTTAGATTCTCCATTGAGAGATGTTCGATTTAGACTTAAAATAGCCGCGACAACAATTGATATCTCTGTAGAGCAAATAGTTCGAAAGACAAGCAAGAAGGCAGATGTTCGTAAAATTCAATTAAGAGCGTGGGTCTTGCGATGAGGCTTTCCGTTGACAAAAAGAAAGTCCTTGGTATTGCCTTTTCGCTACATTTAACTAATTGTTGAGGCAAGAAGGCGAATTTCAAAATAAACTTCTTTCAAAAGACGGCAACTGATATATCCGCCCTTGAGTCTTTAAAGTCACCACGAAAATGGAAAATGTATTTAAGCTTAGTTATCTGTCAAAAATCGCGAACACAACGTTGAAGAAGCCACAAAAACCTATTGAAATCACGAAATTTAGATGAAATTTCAACACTCTGGCAAAAAAAATGTTGGAAAAAATTGAGAAAGGGAAAGATAAAACTGACAAAGAGAGAATTAAACCACACAAAGAAAACCCCTTTCATGCTACAAAGTTCATCTTTGCTTTGATAACCTAATATTTATAAAAGGTAGTAGTTCTTTCTATGGCAGTAGTAATCCCAGTTTACTAGAATTCAATGCATACGTGCTTGAARCGCTTTCGTTGAAACACAAAACAAACGTAGATTCAACAAGACCACAAACCCTGAGGCAGACGAAATGCTATCAATAAATAATACAACAGTTCGTCCAACTAAATACCAAACGAAACCGTGACATTTTTGCACGTTAAAGGTTTGAAAAATGTTTAAAAACACAAAGTATTATACACTTAAATGCGAGCCAGATATATCCAAATTTCCCAGCTCGGAAAGGCACAATATAATAACAGAAAAGTCTCGCTGGAACCACAAATGGAACAAGTGATAGACGCGAGGACTTCATCACCAAATGTGCTTCAAATACAAGGTAAAAATTGATGCAGCTCAGGGCAATTGAGCTAGAACACACAATTCAAATTAACTACATTGACAGGGTTTTACCTGACGTTACAGCCGGCATTCCAAAGTTTCCTTCACGAAAGAATAGGAGTCGTCAATCGAACTGACTCCCGTCCATTGATCGACGGCCATATTATTGTAGTGACGTCATGATRTGATCACGTGCTCAGTGGTATTAATTATGCAGGATTATATAGAGGCACGTGGACTACACCTTTATTTTATACAACACGAGAGATTACTTAGAGTAAGGTCTCTTTTACACTATCTACTCATGCTACGTTTCTTTAGACAATAAATTGTAGATTAAAGGCACAGTACTTTTTTTTGAATTCAAAAGCMKAGTGTTAGAAACGAATTCGCGAATTGCAGTTCAAAATTTCCTTTGTTTGCTGATGGAAAACAAATTCTAATCAATTTGGGATCGCCAAGTATTTCTATTAACAACACTATCGCGTCAGTTAGGTTTTTTTTGTAGCGACTTTAAAATTTCTCATCCAAACATAACCTATCGTCGAGAAGAGTGAACTAACGGTGTATTCAGTATTTTCGTCGCAAGATAACATGTTTTAATTTAAAACCTTCAGGTGTCAGGGAAATATTCGAACTATACACCTGTACATCCGGGAACTTCATGCAGGTGCACTGACTTGATTGACTGGCGAGAGACTGGGGCTTAGAAACATTACACAATAGCAAACAGCTAGACACTGGACAAATAAATACAATTGTATAAACGAACAGTGAAAAAACACCTATGCTGAAAACACTGCTATGGTGGAAGTCCGCCAGCGATTACCATGACATATCCTTGAATTATTCATCTCATCCATTAAAGAAAGCCAACAAAATGTTTTGAAAATATAAAATGATTTCACTGAGATATCAGTTAAAAGTGTTTGAAACAAGTTTCATTTTCTTTCTGACTCGAGGGCAATTTCAAAATAACAACATTTTTTCAGTGAACAAGCTGAAAGCCACTTACACAAGAACACAAAGAATTGCATGCCTTACTGTGATTGGTTAGAKGAGGCCACGTGCAGTCCGTACGTYTAACCTAAACGATGAACATCTGCCATCTTGCCACCAAAATGGGAAACACGACCAAATACATACATATATACATACTAGTTATGGATATACACATTGGTCATCGCGCCAGTGTACAGCTTAAATCAAGCACTATAAAGTTGTAATCTTAGATATTATTGAAAAGAGAAGATGGGGATTTTCCACCGCCTTGAAGGGCTCCTAGCAAAATATCGATTATTCACAACAAAGAATACAAGAAACCATCAGAGTGTTCACGAATATCAATTACCAAGTGCAATATAATTATTTCTCACATGAAAAAAATCTCTATTTTCCCAACCCATTGGCATGGAAACGAAAGCAAAATAAAGTGTCCCTACCGCTATATTTAGCGTGACTCATCCCTGGTCGGAATTTCATTGAAGTTATTGACGAACTATAAAATCTTGAAGAAAAATCCTGTGTTGCCTTGTAGCCGCCTTCATTCAAGCTATGACATCGAGACTATAGTAGAAGGGACACCTGTACATCCGGGACCTTACATGATGGAGACAGCTGCAGGCGAGCTGTGTACTATGATTAATTAACACAAAGTCCGCGTTTGACATCCAAGTGCGTGAATTATTTACATCTGCCTCAGTATCACATATTAATGATTTAGAAACGTTTTTGCTCCTTCTAGGTGTGGACTATTAGATATATCGCCATGGCTACGGCCAAACATGACCAGAAATCGAAGCACTAAAATTGGTGTTTAAAGCATAGCATTACATTATCAGCTGTTTCGAATAGCTAAGCCGCCCTACTAGCCTCAACTTCACTACTGTTGCTAGAGGGCTTGCTGTACATCATTAAGGGATGTTGGGTTTTGCCGAGAAGTCATCCACAATCATTTGATATTCGCCGTTTTTCGATTTTCTTATTCAAAAGAATTACTTCTCAGTTTTCAATATGAATTATTTCAAAGTCAGAATGTTTCAAAAAATATCTGGCTCCGGCAGTCTTTTATCGTTCATTACAGACTTGAGCCAATCGAGAGCCTTGAAGAAAAACTAATTTTGCAAGTCTTTTGATTATTCACTTATGCCTCCGTCAAGACCGGAATCCACACATCTTCCAGAATCAATAAAGCCTTTCTGATGAGAAAATAGTTCATTATAGAAAGATGTCACAAGTCTAGATGTAATCAAATTCAAATGATCATTAACTGACTTAAAATATATTCCGCAATTTGTCGAAACATATTTTCAATGTTTTCGAATATATTTGGCAGCATTGGTTCACCACGTCAATTCGTGAGGAAATTTCTTTTCATCTACGGCAAATGAACATCTGTCGACCGTGTGTTGTATTTGTTGTTAGTTACTTCCATTTTTCATCTAAATTTCTGACATCAAAACAAGTCAATAAATATGAATTCATCAAAAGCTCCGGAACTCGAGGCTCTCTGGTACATTTCATTTCTCAAAATAAATAACATACTCAGTGAAAGCGCGGGAGAGGTTTTTTKGGTTTTCTTAAATGAACACATAAGGGTTCAAAGTCTGTAAGTGTTTCGTTAGTGAGTGTGGTTACACAAGTTAAACACAAGAAGTAAAATGATGGAAGACTTGGTGAATTTGGACGTCACCACAAAATGTTGTGGTCCTCTGAGAACAGCTGGCAAAAACATATTCATTTTGCTTGTTTTGTTGTAGAGCAGACAAATGAACATCCCCCGCACTAGTTGGTTCGATAAGCTAAGGCACTGTAGACCTTGTTGATGATCCATGGCGCCAATCATAGCCTGCTATTAAAATAGCAGATGTTATGGTTATGTACCAGAATTCATTGCGGTCGGTCGTAATGGTGCCTTGTAGTATAAAGGGCCATAAAGGGCTAAAAGCAGAACCGAATAGAAATCTACGTCAGCAGGGCTATAAATATGGCTGGCTTGAAGACACAAGTGATRAAAGGTTCATTTAATTTTTGTCATTAATCGAGATTTGCGGACCGGTGTTCAACCACCTTCTGTTACCATCTTTCGCTTGTCGTTTATACGTGTATTGTATCATCATTAGTTGGCCATTAATATCGATCTTCAATCATGAAACTCAAAGCATACGGATTTTTTCAGAAAGTTGCTTTGCGCACTAAGTCAAAAAGGCCATTACAAAAAGTATTTTTTTATATTCTTGTATTCAGCATAAACTGCACAGATCTTCTGAAGTCGCCTCAYTCTCCGTGATTTTATGAGGAGTTCGATGTACTTCACTAGGTCACGTGAATAGAGCACATGGTGACATGTCTTTATTCTCTCATATATTCTCTATTTACCAAAGTAATTACTATGATCTTGAAAACAATGATTGAAATAAAAAGATTTAAAATATCAACTGAATGACTTGATTGACAGCTTAACCAGACACCAGCTGTATTATCACAGGTCACATGATACACCCTGACACGTGTTGAACACATTTGATGGGTAGCGGAAGTAAAAGAAACCCTGTAAATACGATATCGTCACTTCACAAGCTTCTAGTCTACAAATAGCTATATACACATGTTGGTCGACGATGTGCCCAAAGCTGAGCTGCAGTGAAATATCCATTGTTCGTTACTGCTGGTACGGTATTTTCTCACATACCCTTTAATATCACTGGAAACTGCATCAATTAAATGCTCAACATGATATTTTAGTTTACTCATAGTCGCGTACAAGTGTAGATAGAAAAGTAGCTGTAACATAACATTACCTCAGGGACTAGATAAGGCGCTGCCACAAACGAAGTACATTGCCATAAAATTCAAAATATAGATTTCGGTTGAACAAGCTGGTACCCGACGTATCAATGCTGGTAGTAAAAATAGGAATGCATCGGTAAAACACCGTCATTCAATTCTTTATAGTCCTTGTTGATTTGGCCAGTAAATTATCAAAACAAGCCAAGGTTCAACAGAGTATCGTTCTGAATTAACATTAACACATAAAAATAAGATAAGTCCTTGTTATCAATTCTCCACGTGTTCGGGTTTCATCTGTCCTTGACAGTTACCAGTACAGGTGGCCCTCAAACTATGTCAGGCATGTATGACGTTACTATCATCACGTGTTCAAGAATCATTTAAACTATGGTAACTACGACAAGAATTAAACGGTGGCTACAAAACATCAAAAGCTGATAGCAAAACATAGATCKTCCAGGAATCCGTGCTACGTTTTGATGTACATTGTTGTGGCCTAAAAGAATACAATAGGCACCTGATGGCACAAGAACTGTGTCATCAATATCAACCAAGAGGCATGGTTATGAATTTAGTACAAATGTTGCCTAATTATGSTGCAATTACCTTTTTCTGGCCATAAGTCGTGTCTACGAGGAGGGTTTGCCCACATCATTGTTATCTATAAGGGAAACGACATTTATAATTSGTCAAATATTTCCGGCCTGATGTCGATCTTAGTCAAAATTTTCATTCCTTACAAATTCAGCTTCATTTCATCTTTGTTCTATTCATGGCTTTACAAGCAACTCTTAATCTTTTTTTCACTTTTGTTKTGAACATGCTTCGATTCGAGATAAGTCAATGYACGGCTAAAACATGGATGATTGACGTGGAACATGAAAACCATAGCAACCAATCACAGTAGCATCAATTTGTCCTTAAATCTGTTGTCTAGTCCTACTGTCAAGTATGACAGGCTTTTTTGGTTAAATTATCGTACTCAAATGTGACACTATTTTTCCGATTCAATATTCTATAAAACATGACAGATTTTCTAGAATGATTTGAATAAGTACTATTATATAGAAACATTGTTAACGCATTGACATTATCTGAAACGGTAAATTGGACGCATTCTTTGAGAATCGTCTATTCGCTGTAGCAACCTCAAATGAAACTTCAAAGTTTGAAAGTCTGCATGGAAGCAATCGATGTTTAATACCGACGGTATAAAATTTAGATATATTTTTCGATTAAAGTGTGAGTTTGTCAGGTTATTGATGCAAAATGGGCTTCTAGTATTTCAAACAGTATCAAATGCTGAACAATATCCAAGACATCACGATAGCAGCGCAAACATTGAAATACGTAACCAAGACAACACAAATGCAAAATTGCATCGTCTTGACATCGCGTATTTCTGTCTTAATTACATCGTCGTCTGTTAAATCTAGAATTGTCTGAGTCTAGAGTCGTGCAGATTCTGGATGTTTCCTTTTGAGCCTAATTCCTAATCGTAGCTTTCCAGACAGGAATGATGAATGGTTTTTGAAGTAAAACAGATAGAACGGAAAAGAAAGCTTGTAGGGTTAACCCGCCGCTGTGTTTGCGTATTTCGATTTGCAATGAGTACAGCTGTCTTTTGCTGCACTTTCTCCATTCATTAATACGACAGTCCATGACAAAGATCCACATATCAAAACTATAAGAGCTACTCGGAACGATTTCCCTAAGAAAAAAATCAACGAGTTTGCAAAAACCTTGAAAAACTTCTTTACACTGTTTAGAGGGCATGGTTGTCTGGACAATGTCAGTYTTTACTATTTTAATGTCATATATTATAAAGCTCTAAAAAATATTCGATTATCAAAATTAACATTAGAATATTCTTTTCGCATAGGTCTGTTTCTTTGATCTAGAATACATGTCTCGTACGATGTCACCTGCCCTGACTCTATAAGCTTGTTGAATGAACATGGTGCAGCTACTTGATTGGTTGGATTTTTTATTAACCTTGACAATATTTGCACTGTAAAATAACGAAATGAATTGAGAAAAAGTTGAAACTGACGATTTCGTGTAAAATCGTTAAAAATTTAACGCTGGATTTTAGATCATTTTGAATATATATGACCATTTAATTAACAGTGTATTTATATGGATTCAATTTTCGAATTCTGTTTCCCTTTGCATAATTGTGCATTTCTCTTTTCCTAAAATATAATTTTCCCCTGTTCTTCCAAAAGCTCAATCAATTATCCAATATCTATCATGATATTATATATACATTAAGTGTACACRTAGTTACGATTTCGTTTATGTACAATGAAGATGTGAAATGAGTCATACTCACATGGAAGAATTGCTAACCTTTATGATGGTGCCGACATGGTCGGGCAAATCGTGTTTATTTAGCTGGATAAAAAAGCATCGGCTCTACTACATGTGCAGGTGGTGCATTATTGACGTTTGATGGTATACCATTACTGGACTTGATAGTGACACGTGATAGGCGTGCGCAGTGCTGATTGTAGATCAGCAGCTGCTTTCTTATGACAGGTTGCTGTGTTTTTGTGAATCATGTAGATCACTTACACTCCATAGGATTAATACATTACAAAGAAAGCAAGTTCTTGTGTTATTCCCGTACTTAGACCCGATTTAGATGTCACATTCACGTGGAAGGAAAACAATTGAATATCATTATCTTCGGTAGAAGACGACGTAATAAAGCGCGGTCTTCGAGTTCCATAGGCCATAATACAAAGGAAATGTACTCTTGTATTTTGAGTTGTCTTGTGTTGAATAATCGGCAGGTGTTTTACCTATAGTATCCCGACAGCCTCTCTGTTTATAGTAGTAAAGCAACCCTTGATTGCAAAAACAAATGCGCCATTTTTTAAAAAATTGCAACTGTGCTTCAATTGAAAAAATTGGCGCTTTAACCCTTCTAGAGGTAGCAAGAATTATACTGCTTTTTGCATGMAACGAAAGTGTTCGGAAGTCCTTGTCATTTGTAAAGTACAATAATTTACCACATAAAAAATCTGAAAGTTTAGTCGTCAGTACTGAATTCYTTCTTGAGCATATATCGCCTAGTTGTTCGCCAAAATTTTCTTTTACAACACTAAAACTTTCTTCTGGTTTTCTTTTATAAAATGATTATGTACTGAGTTTTTCAATTATGACACCATGATACTAGGGAAAGTTTTGTCTCTGATGGGTTTTGTCACATACAACACCAATATATGTGAATGTCAAAGGAGCAGCTGGAAGAGAGCTATCCAATTAATCAGTTCACTAAAAGCAAAAACACCAAACCTTCAAAACTTGAGGCATTATTCAAAGAGCAAAGTGTCATCCTGGAAATGCCACTTTTCTAACACTAAATAAAACAAAATACGTCATTTAGTTTTTCTGGTTTAAAAGATCCCTAAAAACAAAGGAGTTACTAGATTCATGTTTCTTCCGGCGCAATTACGGCTTTAGTTGCCCGTCAACCAAGTTTTCCATCTCTCTTTTTTAATTAAGCCAAACAGCTCGACGGTAATTGGAAGATTGCAGTGGGGTACTGATAAACAACGCAGAAAATTTATAAGATACGAGCAGATGTTTTTTAGAGGCAGGCGTGTTCACTAATCTCTTCTTCTTTACCGTGAGGGCACTAAAACCACAACCTTTCTGCTACTCAAATCTTGAAATACAGGGAATACACTGAACTCGACAGCTTACATTAGCAAGAAACGTTTCACGGTTCGCGTGTGACCACACAGTAAGAAAGCAAGAGAAATATACCAAAGTGAACAATAATGGTATAAAAAATAGGTCTATATGAAAAAAGCTAGGCAAACATGAAAAAGGTTTTCAAAAGTCTTCGAGGCTGACATGTTGGCTGGATTACCTGTGGTAGCAAAACCAGGCTACCAATGAAATCAGTTCTTTTCCCAATTTACACCTTGCGTGTGAATTATTTCGATGAATGRAGAAAACGATCGTAAAACTTTTATTTATACTAGGGCTATTAATTATGGGTATTAATTACTATATTTGTTATATTAATTTCCATGCAATTTCAATTCATTCTGAGAAATTATGCACTCTGTTGTTCGCAGTCTTCTTTGCAGGGCACTCTACAGGCTATTCCTTGACTTATTGCTATTGTTTCCATACGGATTTTACTTCAGATACTGCTATTTGTTTCATGGGTTTATGTAATGAGCACGCGTCTGATTACATGTAGCGTATTGACCAGGTTCAACGGGATGGTTTCTTTGGTTTTCTTTTCCTTCGGGGTCACAACATAACAGAAATCAGCCCTGTTAACCGGGCCAGCCCACTTCATATAAATAGGCTCTAATTTTCAATTAGAATATCTGACAGCAAGCACTAGTGACAGACCTCACTGTCTGACTGCGTAGTACTTGTGGCAAGCGATCCGAATTAATTGTTCTGGGTCGTTTTACTTCCATATCTATGTTGTCGATGTCAGCTGGTGTCAAAGAATCTCTCTTTCCTGATCCAACTAACGACAAGCTTTCGTTATTATTTTCAAGAGTTTTCTCTAATTCCGCAAAACTATGAATGTACTTGACAGCGCTTCCCTTGCGTTCACAAAGCATGCTGTACGTCCTGCTGATGTGTTCAACCTCACTCTTGGCAGGTAAAGGTGCACTATTTACGCGACATTTTACAGCATGTTCTCTGCTGCGTTGTGTAAGATCTAAGCTATGCCCAAGCATGTCGTCTTTTATCTTGTTATCGCTGTAAAAGTTTTCTTTGTTGCTCTCATCAATCGCATCCAAAGTAAATATACTTTCAATAATATTGTTTCTGACCAACGAACTTGTTTTCCCGCCACTACTTTGCTTCTGTGAGTCTTGTTTTGAGCCATTGTCCGGGTCTTTTGACGGTGGTTGTGCTGATGAAGATGATCCTAGTGACCGTACAGTTCTCTGGACGTTAGCTCCTCCTCCGCCATCCCCCTCACTTCCACTGTCATCCTTACGGTAATGCTGGCCTGGACTTCTTCTACAGCTTGAACTTGTATTCAACCTCTTCATGTGCTTGTCTAAATCATCGTCATCAGAACTACTACAACTTGAGGACCGCCTGCTACTACCTGTAGAAGGTACGGGTGATAACCGCCGATTATTGCGTCTTGCTTTAATGGCGCCTCCTCCAATATGCTTTCGAGCTCGCTCTATTTGGGGTGAGTTCCGTGGACTATCTTCCAAATCAGATTCGCGTTCCTCAAATATTTGATTTAAATGSCCTGGAGTACTTTTTGCTTTCGCTAGCGCCATGTGCGAATTGTGTGATTTACGCTGTCTAGGACGTGATGGCACAAGGGCTGGTCGTATATGATCTTCTGTTGTGTATAGTCCTCTGCTCGACGACGTTGAACTTGATGAGAAATCATCTAAAGACCTGAATATGCGGTGACTTTCCATTAGATTGCAGTCATCTTCCTCCATGGAACTGTGCAAAGCCTCATCAACTTCTACTGCTTGTGCCTACAAACAATTAACAATTCTTGAGTCATACATTGGCATCACCGCGGTAAATAAGAGAACATACCACGAAAAGCTATCATAAATTTGTTAATTATAAGTCTCTCGACTAACAGCAAACCTTCAAACTATTACAGCACTTTTCACTAATAAAGCCTGTACWCGTACATTACTTCTCTTGAGCTGTAATTCGGCTTCCTTTGTAGTTACAAAACAACGTAGACTATAGGCGGCGAAAAAGGGTGGGCAAGGGCGGTTCAAGTCCCCTCAAAAATTTTGCTTAGCATCTTTTGGCAATAAATTGATAAACGTTTGACATAAATTTATGTATATTTAGAGTGAATATTTACAAAAGAAAATCACACTATGTCATTTAAGCTATTTGCAATGTACTTTTACACAATATATATAAAAAACATTACTTATACGTTAGTCCTATGAAAAAGGTTAGAAACTTGGTTGTCAATATAAGCAACAAAACACATGCAATAATTATTCAAATCTTCTTTTTTATCTAAATTTGATAGGTGTGTAAAGTCTATCAGCAAGAGTCCCTTCTCCCCCACCTTTCACTGAAAATTCTCTACTGCCTCTTTAAAACACTTGAAGGAATGTAACTTTACCAGCAAACGTGATTTATCCTTTATAACAGAATGACTCCTGCAGTTCTTTGACAGGTCTTACCTGGATACATTTGTTCATAATTTGTCCTTCTCTGGGTACAAGTCTCCTGAAACTTGTGCGAGGGCTGTTGTCACTCGACTTTTCTGATCCACTGTCACTCTCAGCAGATGATGGTCTAAACAGAAATATGGTAAATATAGTTAATATATATATATACTTTCAAATTAATCAACTCCATCTATCATATTAACTGGATTTGAATTCAAATGTAACAGCACCTGGACTGGGTTTTTCTGTGTGGTCTCAGCGAATTGTCAGGTAATGATCCTCTACTTCTCCTTTTCTTCTTTGCAACACCTGAGTTTTCCATATCTTGTGCAATTTTAAGTCTGCGAAGATACTGCTCAGCAAGAAGAAAGTACGTAGCAGCAGTGTGATCATAAGGATCTTCACGTAGAGATCTTCATTGCAACAAAATATCATCATTAGTAATGTGTTATATAATCTACATGTATACTACAAACTCTGATTTTAGCAAAAAAAAGGGAAAATCTAAGCATCTTATTTGTACCTTAAAATTTCCTCTCTACAAGCCAAATTACCAGTCTCCATCTTATCAACTATACGTAGGTGTTCATCAGATGAAAGTGGCAGCTCAGTCACTAATGGTGCATCGTAAGGGATAAGAGGTGTTGTACCTTGTTGTAACCAAGGGTGCTCTATAATTTCATTGAGATTTGCTCTATGGCCAGGTTCACGGATAAGCATACGAGATATGAGACTGAAGATAAAGAGTACAGAAATAATTAAGTACCTACAATTATAATATGAATTGTGCATCATATTATTTGTTTGACATAAAAAGTAAGGAATCTTTGGTTGATGCTTGTGGTTACTGTTATCCAGTCTTTTTGTTTTTTCTTGAATGGACGTTAAATCCACTTATAAATGTCACTGATGGATAATATCCTTCTTCTATCCAATTTACATTCCAAAATCCACTCATAGTGGGCAGATTCCTCCTCTACCCCCTTTACTTATACTAAGTGCTGTCATTCTACATCATGCACAGTGCCTTCTCTAGGTTGTGATGGTTGACCTTCTCATTAACACTTAATAGCTGTGGTATTTAATGTGTTATGTGGTACCATGCAATACTCATATCACTCAACAGGGCAGTATCCAGGACTTGTCATTAAGGGATGACAACATGTAAAATTGTCACCATGRCTGGAAGATTCAAGAAAAGTATCATAAAAGAAMTGTGAGCAATGTCCAGAAAGTGCCAGCTCTTCAAAATATCCACTTGCATCCTCAACTGACTCTACATTTTGTAATAGATTTTCCTGCTGTCTTTTTTTCACCCACATATGGAACAAACAAGAAGCCCATCAGCAATTGATACATTCTTTCCATTTGAGAACAAAAAAAAAGACAACTTAAGAGGCAAGAAAAACTCTGGCGAAATCTTTACACGCTGGATCAAGTGCCACTTTTGGTTTTGAAGTTGGGTGAAAAGTGGAGCCCTCTGGATATGCCCAAGACTTTCTAGGTCACTGGSCTTGAAAATCTCCTGCACAGACTACAGTACTTGAACCAGTTTGATGGTCAAGATCTTATTTTGTTACCAGTCACACAAGAAATGACAGTCCCCCCTGGGGATTAATGATCTAAGCCAACACAAAAATATTGACATAGTAAGGAAAAGGAAAAAAAGGAAAAGGTGTTGGGTGCTAATCATCCCTCATGGCAGCAAGGTTGCTGAATTGCRAAAGACACAGCTCAACGAGCTCTCAAGTCGAAGTGCTATTTTACAGACACATTTTACACACACTTGCACATAGGTGTGCTGCCAGCTAGGCACTGCCTTTACATAGCAATGTCAACTGATCACAGTCGAGCACAGCAAAAAGAAATGGTTTGTATTTAATGAGGAAGGAAAAACTGAAAAAGACCTGGAAAAACCCTCAAGGGAGAGAAACTCAAATCACATATGGCATCTCGACCGCGATTCGAACAGGGTCCACAGAGATGACAGGCCAGTGCTCTCACCACTCGGCCATCCTTGCTTTCCAAAAAGGTTTGGTTATCACATTCACCCTTATATTGAGGTTAGGCTAGAAAGCATCTCCTAGAAAGACCCTGGCATCAGCCTCCGGCATGACACCTAAAATCCTGGGTGTTATATATTATCATAAAATGACACATCCATCATCAACAATGATTTCAAATGAAGTAATTGTAGAACATTCTCAAGGAAAAACATCAATTGAAAAATACTCTATTTTTAATTTCACTTGGAAGTGTTATTCTATTTTTAAATCTTAATGACCTGGCAAACTTGTCCAGATAAACCAGCTTAACCAAATTGTCAGGAAAGGTCTATATGTTAGAGAAATAGCATCTTACATATTCAATGTTTTGTTCCAAACATTAGCCAATACATTGTTGTGGTCGGTATTTTTAGCTAGCTTATGTTTTTTGAAAGTTTATAAATCAGACTATACATCTTAGCACAGCTTAAAAGTCATTATTTCAGATATCAACTTTGCGCTTGATTGCAAATGTTACAAATTAAGTGCTTTTACCTTTTACAAGAGTTTGAGACATGGGGAGGCACTTCATAATGACAATCCATGATCTTTGTTAGTGTTTCACTATCATTGGCTTCATTGAATGGTGCTTGACCAGTAACAAGCATAAACAATATAACTCCAAGACTCCAAACATCTAAAATAGAAGTAACAATGTCAGCTTTTATTGTCATCTTGCAATATATGTATATGGTCTTGAACAATTAATGACAGCCCTTGCCCTTTTCCAGGGCTGAAATAACCTAAACTGTCTAGATTGTGGATGTGACTGTGGGGACTGAATATTGCATTGCAATTGTACAGTTCATTCTTTCTTAGATCTTTGAGCAGAGATTCTAGGTGGAAATGCAAAAAAAAAAAACATTATGCAGTCNGCGGCTCGAGATTGTAATTCCCATACAACACGGCCGCTCATGTTGTAAACTATACTTACAATACATTAATCTGTATTTTTCAACTGAATATTGGTAAAACAGTAGAGTAACTCAATTATTTTATGATTTCTGCTATGTTCTGCAGTTGACACAAAGAGAATCCATGTTTGAGTTATTCTACTTTTGCATTACTTTGCTGTTCCCTGCAAAAATCATCTATTTCTCATTAGATTGAATTTCATTCAACTTAAGTAATCATGTGGATTTGGTGCTGAACAGTGACTGTACAAACTAGCTTGTCTATTCTCATTTCATTCTTATCTTATCTACGATTGATAATAGTGTTCACATAAAATAAAAGACCCATAATACATCCATATATTGGATACTAGTGAAATGCATCATACCAAATAGGTCTATAATCGAAATGAATATTCCAAAACAATTGCCAATGCGACAGTTTCAATAAGTAGATGCAATCTCAGCTTAATAAAAAATATAACAAACAGTGAAAATTAATTTTAATTTGTGCAATGACAATCCTTAATCAAAATGTTGCCAGAGGATTGAAAAATTAGAAGTTCAAATAAACCTTGGTAAAACTTGAACGACAAATAAGGTTAATGCAAATTTCTCTTAGTTTTCTGCCCACATGATACTCCTGTTGATAGAATAGTTATTATAATAAACTCACTGCTGAAAGAAAATCAAAGTTGCCTATTCTCTTACCAACTGCGGGTGCCTCATACGACTCTCCTAGCAAAACTTCAGGCGCTGAATAAGCCAGCGAYCCACAAGCCGTCTCCAGTTTTTGGTTGGGAATGAAATTATTTGAGAATCCAAAGTCTGTAAGCTTCGCCAAGTCTTTGTTTTTGAAAAAGATGACATTTTCAGGCTTTAAATCTCTGTGAACAACATGCAATTTGTGGCAGTAATCGATTGCAAGTACGATTTGTCTGAAAAAGTATTGAGCTTTCTCCTCCGTCAGCCCTTGTTCGTGGTTCATTATGTAATCATACATGTCTCCACCATCGCCCAGTTCAAGAATGAGATAAAGCTTAGTTTTGGTATCGATCACTTCGTAGAGTTTGACAACGTTGGGATGTTGAACAAGCTTCATGCAACGCACTTCTTTCATCAGATGTTCCCTCGCGATCTCGTCAAGTTTTGTCTTGTCGATGACTTTTACGGCCACTCGTTCGCCTGTGAAAACATGCCTTGCAGTTTTCACGACTGCAAAATGTCCTTTTCCTAATGTCTCGCCTAGATCATACAACCCAGCAATTTTACTGTCTTGAAAACTTGATTTCCAACCGTGATTCGTGGCCATTTTAGCTTTCGATGGCCGACGACCAGCGAACGAAAACCGCTCTCAATGTAAATGTCAATCGTTTGTCATCCACCAATCAGTATAGACTATCCATTGCACGACACAGGGCATCCACAAAACCTATTTTACCAATATTCAAGAAATAACTTTATTCGATCATATAATATGCATAATTGTACATGTTCAGTTTTGTAGATGAATGCAAAAATAATACAAAATAATATATGTGTTGGCTAATTCAGCCGAGATACTAAGTGGAAAATGTTGACATTCCTTTGTCTGAAAAGACGCGAATCATGATAAACAGCTGTTAAATACAASTATTCAGATAAATTAGTTCGTATAATAAATATTTTCAATACCATTCAATATATTATCTACTTGCAAAAAATATTGGAAGATATGAATAGAATTAATCAATAGTAAAAAGATCTATTTTCTAGTGAGAAGACTGTAGTAAATAATTAAAAATGCATATTGCTATCACTATAAATTAGTGACTGAAAACTTGAGTCTGGCTGTGGTTGTTTTACATCCAAACAAAGGGATATTCCCGCCAAATTTCCCGTCGATCAGAAATAACTCTGACGTGTGAATCGAAGCGTAGCATATGTCAGAATAACCCAATCAGAAGTCATTTCSATTATTCATTAGCCTCGTGCGACATACAGTTAGCCAATCAGAACCTTTGTTTTCAATCAACAGCTCTTGTCTTCCATGTGCTCAGACAGCGTTGTGTTTCTTTCAAGTGCCAAACAAAACACATCTCCACCCGTCGTTGTGTGTGAGTAGTATTTTGCTTTTCTCTGCGCTATTTCTTAGTTAAGAAACAATCTTTTTGGTTGGATTTCGTGATGTATCGCTCGGGTGGAACATGGTTAAAGAAATCTATGAATGACGATCTGGATAATGTGATTTTCGATTTTCGTGAACGGCTCAAGGTCAAGAAAGAGGCGCCACAACAACAGAGTAGAGACGACGATTCAAAGAATCAAGATATAAGCGACAAACCTTTACAAACTTTACTTTGCCCAACTTGTGATCCATTTAGAACTTCAGAGTCTTATGAAAGGGTAATGGAACTTTTACAGCAAGGGAACTTGATTAAAGAAGCAGTCCGACTTATCACGAATGCAAGACGAGGTAAACAATTAAAACGACTGTCTCCCAGCAGATGACCAGTGCTACTTGGGGAATTTCACTAATTTGGTTTAATGTTAGCTGTGAATTACTCTGTTTGACAGTGATCATAGAACAATTTGACGACTATCGTAGAACATTTACGATGTTACGATTTACTTGTAAACACATTGGACGACGTGAGTTCCTGTATCATGATATCCTGATCGATCGACGACGTGCGTACCGAAGGATTGAACCTCAAAGAGACATGCAAATGATAAAAATATATATTTATATWTTAGGACATACAGAAAAGTTTTGTTTTTAATGATGAATGACGCCTTGTTTTTAGAAAAGATCGTTGCTTCCCGCTGTTCAACATGACGTCATATTGTTTACGTGCATGTGTGAAGATGAAAAAGACATTCATTGTTGACTGGTGATTGATACATTCTGATCATACATCATGTAACAAAGTTTTTTTTAATAAAAAAATATAATATTTGCACTACAACTGAGTATTGAATTTCCTTACAAGTTCGGCTAAAAAGATAAACATTGTGTAATCTTGAGAAGTTATCCTTATTCTAATAATAACATTGTGTCAGGGAAAAATTTAAACTACTGAACTGGAACAGAAATTCGCAAGCTGATTTTTTAATTGTTTGTTTATTTTCGAATATTTTTTTCATTACTAAGTGATATTGTATTGTATAGTGTAGTCTCAATGTACCTCAATCTATTGTTCTCAAAACAATCACTTTCATCAAAGATAGATTTTTACTAGCAAAATCATTTGTATACAGTAATTGTGAATGGGAGAATTCACTCTGATTCACTCATCATTTTTTGCAAAAATTATAAACCATCAACCGGAAGTATTCGAGGAAATACGGTAAAAAAGACTGGGCGCTAGTGCTACTTGGAACGCCTATCAATTTTAGTTTCTTGTACTCATAGAGCTGCATGTAGGATCGGTGTGTTGAAAGATGAATTTGGAATATACTAGGATTCTTCCAAAGCTGATTGTGTTTGACTTAGGTAGACCTTCTAAGAGACTTTTAAATTTCTAACCCTAACCCTAAACCCTAGGTTATTTTTGAATTTGTGCATAGTTAGTGCTAACTATTAATTTGTGGTAGACACTCGGGTAGACTTGATATTGTTTATTTTATGAAGTCAGGTCAAACAGAACTAAAGCACTCATTAATTGATCTATTATTTTGTTTGGTGTCAAGATTACACTCTTTGGCCACTATGGGTCGATACCCATGTCAAACTTCCTATAAAGAAGACAAAGTAAGCAAATAGTATCATTTAGGGAAGTAGTGCTAACTTGTTTTTGTATGAATTAGTGATTATTGTAACGAAGAATATAGAATACGACCTCACTCAGATACTGACACCACTTTTTTGGTGATGGCTAAGACTTCTGGATAGTTAAAGTGGTACTTGAAATCAGTCAAATGCTGCCACTGTACAGTATAATTTCTGTGAGGTAGTATTCCATTGTCTAGCAACCAAACTATCCTCTATTACTTATTTTGCTTACTCCTAGCACATMGTGTAACATCCAATCCTAATTTGATTCTCTGTCCTGAACTTTCTTTTAGTAAATAAACATTTTCACTTGTAAAGTAACACTAATTTGATGGATGCAACTAAATTACCTTTATGCAGAGATGGAACTGTTGTTGATACATTTGGATACGAAATAAATCTGATATCAATTTTAAAATGGCTTGAAAGAAAAGATGTTAAACTGGCTGTTGCATCAAGGTAAACCTAAGAAGGGATTTAACAGTAATAATCACAAAGCCTCAACCAGGCAGAATTATTTCAGGAATCTGTAACTTTAGCTGACACTCTAGAACAGAATGGAATAAATAATGAGCTAACTTCATATTTATAATTTTAACAATTTATTTGTAATTTTGATCAAATTTGCATGCGAAAATGCACTTAGATGATTGCTAGTCTTGCTTCTGATTAGTCAATGAGCCGATACTCTGCCAACAGAGCTACTCTTCTCTCACTTCTCAGCAGGTGAGAAAAGTAGCTCTGTTCTCAGAGTAATGAGCTGATAAACATTCATAAAATATTTCTAGGTGATCATAGCTTTCCYATTCATACTGTAAAATTGCAGAAGATCAGACCTTTATTCCATTACTAAAATCAGAAAGCCACAAGTAAACCACATGATTAATGTTCATTTAGACCAATTTAGTATATTAAAAAAATTGTTTTCCTAGAACCACTGAGCCAGCGGTTGCATACGAGTTGATTAAAATCTTTGAAATTGAAGATTTTTTTCATTACAAGGAAATATATCCTGGTTGTAAAGTCAAGCATTTTAAGAAGTAAGTCTGATTCCCACAACTTCTTTATTTGTAATTGAAACATGAAGTGAGAGAATAAGGTGGTTTTAAGTAATATATAAATATGATCGGGAGACCTTTATGGGCATTTAAAACTGTGAGCTGCAAGGGAGCAGTTTTATAGCCCATAAAGGTAGGATGCGAATATTTTATATTGCTTATTGAATTCCAACATTAAGCTAAAGCATATTTTGAAAAAAAATACAGGATAAAATATCATTTGTAAGAGAAAATCRAAGTTAAAGTCGTATGCAAATCGGGACAAATCTCTTGCTCATATAAAGATGCAGTCACAGAAATGATTTTCCATTATGTTTACCTTATGAATTATTAATGAATTTGATAATAACACTATGAAACACACTTTGGCATACTACACTTTGTTTCATGATGAAAACCTATCTGGTATCTGCAGGCAAATAAGATATTCACATGATGATATTTTTGTCATCAGATTTGCAGAAAGTAGTAATATACCCTTTAAAGAAATGCTTTTCTTTGATGATGAAGAAAGAAACATTTGGGACATCAATCAGTTAGGTAAGATAATGCAGTTTGCTCATTTCACTCAAAAAAAATTATTTTTTAATATTATTGTCTTACTGTTGAATGATGGTCGTGGATATGATGTCAGATAATAATGAGGAGTGCTTTTAAAAGAGTTTTTTTATTGTTAGGAGTTACATGTCTTCATGTTCCTGATGGTATTTCAATGGCATCATTTCAAGATGGACTAGAAATTTACTCAGATAAATTTGATAATAAATAGGCACCACAAACTGTTAGAATCAGGGCCATAGTCACAAAGTTTTACCTTTTCAATGTATCACTATTATACTGTAGATGTAGTCAACCACACATGGTACTTTCAAAATAGTGTGCAAAAGTGGGACAAATGTCAGGATGCTTTCTAAATTAATCAGAGTTGTTTTCACTGACTTTAAATGAAAGTTTATTATTATTACTAGACCTTTAAATCTCAAATATTTTTTTACTCTGGTTCTCCTAGGCTGACATTTGCTTCCATAGAGAGTTGCACATGCATCCTGAGTTCCCTCTGGCTGAGAAGGATTTGAGAGAGTACATCACAAAAGGGAGAAAATCCAGTCTTCCAAAAGACGCAATTAATTAGMTCACTGCATCAAAAGGGTCTTAATTCTTTTACCCCCTTTTGTGCTGTCCCTTCTCATTTATGTACGAATGAGAACTTGGAACTAAATTAATGGTATATGGGAAAAAGTGACATGAAATGATGAGTTTGAATTTTTTTTTTATAGAGCCATCAAATTGTTTCCTGTTTGTCAGCTCTAGGGGTGGGTGAAATTTAGATTTAATAGAATGGAATGACTCCCTTTTTCTTTCAAACACCCCAAATAATTTTTTAACAATATTTGCTGATATACTAACTGTGGTTAAAAAGTTTTCATCCATGAGTTCAATGTTATGCACAGTTCTTTTCCAAAAAAGCCAAAATGTGAATAATTTAAATAATATGGAATATAGCAGTAGAATAGTTTGAGACAATACATACAACTTTTATAGCTTGAGGAAATTATATATTATATTGTAGATGCTGTCATGTAAAAATCAAAAATGTCACAAAATAATGTAGCCTTTTTAGGGTCAAAACCGAAACAAGAATTAAACTTGTTATCCTTTCGACCTCTAGTTTCTATATTCATTGTTTTTATTTTGTGCCATCTTTGTTACGGACAATGTTAACAAGCACACCGGAAGTGCGTGTGTTTACAAAAATGGAGCAACCGGAAGATAGAGCCACGAAGTTATGCTAATTGATTTTCGAATATTTTAGAAACCAAAAAGTTCACTGCATTTTTCATCACTTGGTTGTACCCTTCCCCTTCGCGTGAGTTTAATTCGAACCAGTTCAGAAACCCGTTTCTGGCACAAAATCGGTCCATAATCTCCCGGCTTTCCACAAGTTTTCCAGGACCAATCCAATCGATCGGCTTCCCCCTTTTCGATGCAGGAATGTTCTCAACGATTAAAACCATAGGACGATCAGAATTATTTGCTTCTTTAATTTTTTGACTCCATCTTAAAGTACTGCTTAATCTGGAAGGACTTTTGGGTCCCCAAAATACCAGCGCACCAGCGCAATTGCGACAGTAGACAGATGTCATGTTCAGAAAGCGTTCGTGTTCCGCAACATCCCAAAACTGTAGCTTGACACTCGAGCTCTTAATGCCGCTTTCCCATTGTATGAAATGTACATAAAAGTCTACACCGACTGTTGGTTTGTGATAAAAACTTAAAGGTCGCTCATGAATGTAGTCGGCGACAAAACCTCCCTTCTTTCCAAAGCCAGTATAGTCACCAACGCACATGATTTTGAAGGTATAGTCACTTTTTTGAGTTTTCAAACGGTTGAAATATGCTTCGTCTTGAACGTTAATTGCCTCTAGAGTCTTTATTTGTTGTCCATTGTCGTCCACTGTATCACAGATGATATCTTCATCCAAGGACGTTCGTTTTGTTTCTGCCATCATTCTTGTTCAGGTACAAGGTATTTGAAATTTGACACTCTCTCACTGTCACATCTGTTAAATATCAACGAGCTGTCGAAATCGTGATGCTTGCGGCCGTGAAAAAATATATCACTGCAAACATAAAGAACAAACAGCTGCAAAATTTGAAGGAGAAATTTAGCCGAGGACTTGCAGTTGTGCGTCAGTCCTGTGTCTTCAAGCCAAAACGAAAATACAATATAATGCAAAAGTATTTTCATGCAATAACATAAATATTTTATTATGCATAATTATTACAAATCATTCAGGCAGAAATAATTCGTGCTGACAAAAGGTTATTCCTTCGACAATTGAAACTAAAAGAAGTACTTATATGAAATAKCTGACAAATAAAACACCTCATATCCCATACTTTTAAGTTGACACTAATTATATATATAATCCATTCCACATGAGCTGTTTTTGAATGGACATAATTATTGATTCTTCTATTATCTATACCAATTGAATATTTCACTATGTTGTTTTTTTATTTGTTTCCATGCATTTTTTTACTATTTTTGTAAATCAACTTCAAGCTGGGTCACTATTCCCTCACTATCTAATGATTTCTCTTTTGGAATGGGTTTGAAATAGTCTGATGTTTTATACAGGGTTGGCAGCTTAAACTCTCCTTTTTCAGACTCAACGGATGGAGCTGTTTTTTTCTGAAAAAAAGTGAAAAAAAAAAACAATTCATTTACTATAAAAAAATATGAGCAAGGAAAGAGTGAAAAAAGCATGTTAGTTAATCACTTGTACTTAGAATACCTGGATAAGACCAAGGTAAGGAATTGAATTCAGAACTTTCTGGATAGAATTGCTGCCCAAGTCTTGCTCAGCTGTATCAACTAAATTTTCTAATTCCAGGACACACTGTTTTACTTTGTCAATGAAAACCTTGAGATAACAAATTATTATAGTCATAAACATATTACTCGCCCTTGATACAACATGGAGTCCAAGCTTCTTGATTCCATCCTAGATGCTGGATTCYTAGCCCCTGGATACTGGATTCCCTGAGAAATTTTGCAAGGATTCTAGATTCCACTACATTAGATTCACAGTGCAAAGTATATCTTCCTCAAGCTATTTCTTCAAAACCTTTGAAGTCAATATTAAATTTGTTTTCCAGAATCCTCTTCTTTTATCASATTTTGTTTCCATTGACATGGATTCTGTATTCCAAAAGTTGGRATTACAAATTCCAGGGCCAAAATTTTGCCAGATTCCAGATTTTGTGTCATGGGTGATACTGCAAATATTTGTGCACTTCAAAAACACTGAGTGTTACTATTATGAACATTATATAAGAAAAGATGGCATATACGTAGTCTATTGTCAAATTAGACAACTCAACACCYAAAATAAATATACACCTACCCCAGAGGAGTTACCCCAACCCCTATATTCACTATATGGGGACGTTCTGCCAAAATAGTGTATTATTATCTTCAGTTCACTGGGATACCTACCTCAAGTTGATCAATTCTATTGAAAACAGTTGGCAATGACTGGCATTTTGCACACAATTCAGGCAACAACAAAAAAAGAATTTGAGAAGAATCATTTCTTATCTGAAATCAAAGCAATTTCATATTCATTGTTTATATGTCATAATGCAAGATCACCCTCCATTTGGAGGGCTTTTCTAGTTCCAAAAATTGCACCAACCCATTTCTAGGCAGTGACATTGTGYTGTTGAAAGGGTGTCAGCAGAGCAATTCTCTCTTACGATCATTGAATTGCCGCTCTACCCCCGATAAGGACGTTAGATGWATRGATTGTCTTCCCATCCATAGAACCACAAACACACTCTTGGCACTTATGGGATATTTTCCTTATGATCCTTTTTCCTCCACTTTTCGTTTAAACTACCTCATCATAGTGTTATAGACAATGTTTAACATCTTTTAGCTCATGATAATTTTTCACCTCTTATGAAAAATCGCAACGTTTTAAGACATTGTTTCGGGAATAAACGCATGCGCAATCAATAAGATAAAGTGTTGTCATAAATTATTTGCATCATTTTTCAAGCTTACCGTGTCAGCAAGGTGAGAAAATTCGTCAAGACTTGCTAATAGATCTTCAATATTATCTTCTATGGTTTTAGTCTAGCGAAAAAATACGTCGGTTTAATAGCCCGCGTAGCCATGCAGACGACAGTCTTATAGACCAAATAAAGGAAATTCGTGTAAAGACTGGTCTGACTCAATAACATTGTTAATAAAATTGYACTTCCTTGCTTTACCTCATCGCTTATATCAACTTGAAAGTATTCTGCGAAATTATCAGTGCACTTTCGTATAACTTCTTCTTCCATTTCAGTCTGTGCACCTTCCTTGTTATCTGCCATCTTGGTATTCCGCTGGAATGATGTACTGTGGGCGTATTTTGCGGAGACACGAAAATGCCCGTAAAAGAAAGTGGCTTTCCCTATTAATCATTATAAAGTTTGAATTGTTAAACTAAATGGCAAAAAACATTTATTTCAGCTAATGTTTGAAAGTGTTTCATTTCTGTTAATAGATAAGTGTACATGAACAGTATGTTGGGTTCCCTGTCTTCGGACAGCGGAATACCCTATGAAACGTCGAAGAACGTTTTACCTAAAGAACTTGTGAATATTTTTGAAATCCGGTCCTTTTGCGGCCATCCTATCTTCCACCATGGTAGGTTTATATCAGTTTTGAAGAAGCACATATAAGTTTTGATCTAACATGTCTATTTTTGTAAATTTTCCTTCTCAAAGCCGACGATTGGCAAAAGCTCGAAGATGCTCCAACATATCAACTACAGAATGCGGTGCTCATTACAAGATGGTCGCGTTTTTATTGGAACCTTTCTCGCTTTTGATAAACACATGAACGTTATTCTCGGAGATTGTGATGAGTTTAGAAAAGTCAAACCTAAAAGCAGTAAAGCACAAGAACGAGAAGAAAAACGAGTGCTTGGGTTAGTCTTACTTCGAGGTGAACATCTTGTCTCATTGACAGTTGATGGACCGCCGCCGGCTGATGTAAGAAACTGTACTGGAGATCTGGGTTTTAGTTAATATTTATGAGAACAAGAGAAATATAGAATAACAATGTTTCAAGTAAAATTGGTTGGTGATTATTACTTTTTATCTACTCAATACCCCAGTTTACAGTGGCTAACTTTTTCCCATGAGCACCTTACCTTGTATTCAACATGACTCTAATAGACCTTTGAAGCTTTTACGTGTCATATCGCATATGCAATGCATTGTACGGTATGTCTGGGGAAAAACATGTTAGATTTCTTTTGTTTTCTCAAGAAACTGATCTCRCAATGCATTGCAAATCAAGTTGGTGATGTAAAAGTTTTAGAAGTCTATTACCATACTGGATGTTGGTCTTTGCTTCAAAGATTTGAATGTTAATTCTATTTTGTGTATTCTATATTGTCAATAGGAGAAAGCCAAGTCATTAGGTGCTAATGCAGCTCCTGGTCCTGGAGTTGGAAGAGCTGCAGGACGTGGAATTCCTGCCCCAGTTGTTCCAACAATTGCAGCACCACCTGGTACATGCTTTCATGTCTTTGTCTTTAGCATTATTACAGAAGTGTAATACTATTTTCTTCAATGTTCATAGGATTAAGTGGGCCTGTAAGAGGTGTAGGTGGACCAGCTCAACAAATGATGACACCGCAAGGAAGAGGAGGTAGTTTGACAATTTGTATAATAAGTTAGAGGACAGTTATTGACAACTTTCACATTACCAACAGGTCCTCCACCAGGAATGCCTCCAGGTATGCAAGTAAGAGGACCTCCGCCACGCATGGGAGGACCACCTGGAAGTAAGTTTACCTTATCTATATGAAATTAGACTGATCATTGTAATAACAGTGATCATCTGTAATCATGTAAACTAGATTAAATTATTATTATAGAGGATTTTATTTTCAATTCAATACATTTTCATTCATACAATTTCATTCATTTCATTTTGGAGTGTCTATCTGATCATCTTTCTCAGGTCTTTGTACATTAATTTATTACTGTTGTGTTAATTTTCAATATTATTATCTTGTACAGGTGGAATGCAAGGTGGAAGAGGTGGTCCTGGAGATATGCCACAAGGAATTCCTCAAAGCTTAATGGGCCGTGGTGGACCACCTCCTGGTATGCCCCCTCCTGGAATGCCACCACCAGGAATGAGAGGACCACCAGGAAGAATGCCACCACCTGGTCTTATGGGGAGGGGTAGGTTGACAGTGTTGATTTTTTTGTTAGCAATCTMAATCTTATGTGCGTTTTGTTACTTTCTTAGGCCCCCCACCTGGCATGCGACCACCACGTTAATATGCTTTGTGACTTGGATTCATGATAYATTAGGGACACAACCATGGGTTTCATGTTGAAACATACATTCTCTTGGTATATAGTTCAAAGATGACCTCCAAAAGAATAAAAGCCCGGCCCACCATTTATTTTAGAGTACTCTCTCATACAATCTTTCTCATTTGTATAATTTATGTATATATCAACATTAAAGTTTTGTAAGTCCTGGACAAAATAAACTGTTATCATTGAGTATTTTTAATTAAAGTAACATGTGGTGGACTTGGTTTTAATTAGTATTGTACAGTAAATGAACAAAAAGCAGCAATACCCATGGTTAAGTATTTGAGTAGGTTCCCCATGTTTCAGTTACTGCGAAAACTTAGAAGGTACAGAATTATGCAAATTCCGAATGTCTTATCAATGCTTTTTAGTAATGGTTTCTGTAATAATTAGGTGTTTTATGGGAGTGGGTTATCAGCCCTCTGCCCACCCCTAACCTGGAGGACCAGTGGATCATTCTTTGTTTCGTACCTTTCAACCTGTTTGGCATGCATGGGTGGCCTTACTTGGAGCATAGCTCCTGCTGACATAGCTCTAGAGATCAAAGGGACACAAGCCGCCTCACCACAATAAGGTGATGATCTCACGATGATCCCGTATTAAGTAGTAATATTTGTATCTTGTAGAGTAATGGCATTTA